TTTCCTCAGATGTTGAGGTTAGGACTCTATCAAATATTCTGTACTCTGCCCTTGGGTTTTTACGTCCAAGATGCATTATCTTGCTTTTATCCACATTAAATGTCAGTTGCCACAGCTCTGACCATTTTTCTAGTTTGCCTAAATCATTTGCCATTTGGCTTATCCCTCCTGGAACATCAACCCTGTTACATGCCACTTCACTTGACGCCCAGAGCATGCATTTGCCCCATCGGAACTCCTTGGATCGCATCTTGCAGAGACTAGATGAGGTGTTCCAAGACTTCTGGCTGAAGCTTCAAAATCATGCACAAGCTATTCCGTATCAGCGGCTGGAAGGAACCGTGGAAAGCATAACAAAGGGAGTGAGTGGTGCCTCAACAGATGCCTCTATCGAAAAGGGACTTACTCACCCTGTTGTCTGCATGCCTAAGCTGAGAGTCTCCCGGGGCACTGTATGTACCAGCCACGCAGGCAGAGGATCACACGCCGCAAGCGGCACCCCTCACTTCAAACCTCTACTCGTCCCAGACAGGGGAAATTCTCAGACCCAAAGGAACATCAAAGCCCATGCTCCAGTGCTGCCGACTTCCACACAGGCCTGGGACTGGCGGAGAGCCCTGACCAGCAGTGATTACTCGGATTTACCCATGGATTACACTCAGATCGAGAAAATTGGGCAGACTAGATGGGCCGAATGGTTCTTATCTGCCGTCACATTCTATGGTTCTATGTTTCTATACAGGTCCCAGTTATACCCCAGCAATGGGAATCGGGTGATAGAGACTCTTGTTAGCTATTTGCCCACTGTTCTTATTATTTTCAACATACTGTCTAATGTTTTTAGCCCCTTCATACGAGGCATTATTTCTAGGATGCACAGTCACAGTGGAATCTTTTTAATTTTAATATTTCATATTACTATTGGTTAAAGCTGGCTGAGAAGCCTTACTATTATAGTGACCCTATAGCGATTAAACCAATGCCTTTCATGTAATCAATACTCCATAAGTTAAGTCTGCCACACCTATGGCTCAGCCTGCCTACTAGACTAACTTTCTAGATACTTATCTTGTATATTTTAATTTATTTTGTTTCCTCGCATAACTCATCTGGCTATACTTGGTTTTAGCAGGTTCACTTAACTAAAAAATGTGCCGTTATTGAATGCCATGATATTGTTTATTCTGTATTTTTTTCCATTAGCTTGCACCTGCTTTTGTGGCGACACGAGCTTGTTTGTAACTCTAAGCACTGCAAAAATAAAGAATGTCAAATAAATACAAACAAAATGCTGAAGTTGCCATTTTTTAAATACAAAGAACTAAATGTAATTAACTAGGATAATCCATTGATGCCTATCACATGTGTCAGAGAATTTATATAAAATATGTTGCCTGATAAAACATTGTTGAAAAGCATGGTAATATCAAGTTCCTGATGTAAAACACGATCAGACAAGACTGGAATGATTTACAATGAGTACAAGTGAGAGTCATGATGAATGATGTGTAGATAAGCAGAAATCACCGTTAATTAATGTAATGATCTGAAAATATCAAAGTGCTCTGTGCAAAAAATATGTAAAATATATCTCTCACGCTAGCGACTAGGTGACCATTGGCATCAGGTCTGGATGAGCGCTGCGATTGCAAATAATGAAAAAAATATTCTGAAGGTATCTACTTAATGGAAAAATTGACTGTTAAAGTTCAAAACACTAAAGCCAAATTCAAAAAGGTGTGGCAACCGTGGGTGGACTACTGCAATAGTTTACAGCATGGGTCCTTAAACTCCGGCCCCCCAGATGTTTCTGAACTACAACTCCCATGATTCTTTGAATTACATAGATAGCCAGAGAATCATGGGAGTTGTAGTTCAGCAACATCTGGGGGGCCGGAGTTTGAGGATCCATGGTTTACAGGGTTTCTCATAATGGAAGTAGCTGTGGTGTAATGGTGGTGACGAACAGGGCTAGGTCCATCGAAGGGGGGGGGAGAAACCCCCCTTTCCATAGCCATCCCTAATCCCCCCCATTGCCCTTTCCTTATTCTGTTATTTTTTGTTTTTTAATTTCTAATCCACATTAGAAAATAGAGGGTAGTGAATCAATAACGCTGATGTTAAATTGACAATATGTTACACGCTGTGTTATACTACTGCCACCAAATGTCATTATGGCTAACGTAGGCTTCTTATTCTGTAAATGACTCCATATTTGCTCTTTCAAAATAAAGAATTATAATTTTTTTTTAAATATAATAGCTGCTACCACACTAGTGTACGAATCTCTGGAACGTATCACACTAAGTGGCAAACAAAACGCCAGCAGTCAATATAGTGAAGGGCTAGAAACATACACTTAGCCCTATATAAACACAGGGATGTATTAGGTAAAGTGGTACAATAATGGAAGAACTATAACATATTAAATATTATTTATATATATTTTAATATATACGTTTTAGTTCTGAGATTTATACAATATGGCTGTGCTGCAACAGTGGAGAAGATTCATCAAAGTGCTCAGTTCTGAAAAGTGGCATAAAGTACTGAAAGTGGGGCAATCGCCATGACTACCAATCGAAACCAACAGGCACATTCCACACCTGGTTTCTTCATTTTTACATCACTTCATAGAATGAAACATTTTGATACATCTCTCCCAGTGAGAACAGTATTACCTATTAGACCACCAAGATGGACGCCTAGGGCCCAGCCTCAGACAGAGGCCTGGAGCACCGGTTCGGAGCTTGAGCTGGCAGAGAGATCAAAAATACTCTTCTCCATTCACAATCTATCTGCAAGCTATGGTCACCCTAAGAGGGGCTTCAGCTCCTAACAACTATAGAGCACAACTGCACACACATCACCCCCAGCGCTTAGCTATGCGCCTTTATCGGGGGCTAGAGTGTAGATTTGTTCTTGAAATAATCAGACTATAAATATATACCTCGAGCTAATTAAGGTGAATGGATTTGCCTCTCTCTACTCTGAGATTCCAGCTGATGCACTGTCTAAATTGTACTGACAAGTATATAATAGTTGCAGTATGCTACAGTGTAACACTAAAATAACTTTGACTAATTGTATTATATATTTTATTATAGGGACATATTGAGCTTCTGTAACATTTTCCTTTCCCTGGAGGTTAACAATGATAGATTTAGTTTGCTACTGTTTGAAGGATAGCTACATTTATATACTAGGGGTATGTGACCTAAGTGTTGCCTAATTACTCCTTATATTTATCCTGTGATTCATGTCTGTTCAAGTGGTACAACTTAATGTTATTGTCAATATAGGGCAGCTACTGTCCTACCTAAACAGAACAAATTCATGAGATTGTTATGGTATTTGAAGGATCCTATTTGTAAACCATAAGATGAGCCTAGTGGCGAAATGCGCCCTGCAGCTATACTAATATAAACAACTGAACGGACTGGCAGTTTAATAACTAATTTACTTTGTAAAATTTTATTGGTTTAGGAAGAATTTTTAGGGATTCTATAGCCTTAGCAATAGGTGCCCTCGAAGGCCCGAAAAAAGGTTCCAGGGTAGGCAGTTGTTAGTACAAGGGTAAGAATAGTTGCTACTTAGAAAAGAAGACAATAATAAGAATAGTACTACAACTGACTCCATGTCATCTGTCCAGAATCAAGATATCGACTGAAAGTAGGGCCTGAACAGGATTTTGGGAATTAAGAACCATAAACATTTAGTCGATAATCCCCCATGACCTTGTTTGCCTCTTTTTATATTAATTTATTTTTTTCATTCATTATTGGTGCAATTGTTATCACTTTGGTGTTTTTGTGTTTCTTGTATTTTAATATTACCAATAAAAGGTACATTTTAGTCATGTGTGATTTTTGTAATCATTACCAATACCTCATAGAACACTCCAATTTCTGTTTTCATAGAAACATTGAAGAAAAGAAAAAGAGAGCACAAACATACTGCTGAGTTTATTAGTCGTAAAATACACAACAATTTGGGAGAGGTATGGTATTAGCTTTGATGTCTAATAATGCAGGTAATATGAAAGCAGTATAAAAGTATCTACATAATGCTGCAATAAGATGTGCACGTCATGAGCTCAGAAACTGGAGCCCTCCAATCCATTTATAGGAAGCAAAATAATGTGCAAAACATCATCAAAAAAAAAGAGGCTTATGTTGTGGCTATGATCTTCAAGAATAAGCAAAGAAAAAATAATTATTGCCTTCTTAATATGTCACAATGGATCGAACAATGGGAAATTTTAGTTTGTGAAAACAATGCCATGCATAGCCATTATTGCAGGTCTTGGGGAAAAAAAACCTCCAGAATTCTAGAATAAAGTGGGAAATTGACACTTTTAAATAGTTAACATTTCCACTTTTGACTTTAAAAAAAAAAAAAAAAAACTTTTAATGGGCACTTATTTTCAAAATGACAGTGGTCTACTAAACATTAGGCACCGCAAAGGATAGTGTTAACTAAACAGGGTGGGGGTAGAACATGTTCTACAGGTCATGGGTAAATTGTATACATTGTCCACGCATGTCCCCATTTCACTCTGTTTGTTATTGCATTGCAGGAGGTGCACATGCTTCCTGTTCACTAGTAAAAAGCTTTTCAGCAACAAATGTTTTGATGAAAACATTACTTTTACGTTGGGTATGAAAAGTAGATATCAAAAATATTTTCTACGCAAGGAAGGCCTCGGGTTTTCTACATATCTGTCGTTTGCATGTGTTTTTGTTTTATCACAAACAAAATAGCTCACTAATGTAAAAATGCAGTAGCATGTACCCAACGTGAGATCTGCAATGAGTTAAATATGTATATGGAAGTGTGCAAAAACAGCTTCTCTCGTTTTAAATCAACACAAATGTCATTTTTTTTGTGTCTGGTGCTGCTTTCGCATTGAACGGTTTCTATGACATAGTTGAACAAAAGGCTACAAGGAGATTAAAGAAATGACCAGGGATGCACTCTGCTGGTTCAACAACCAGTTTATTGAAGAAAACCACAATTACAATGCGATAGAAAAATCACTCAAAATCCACAATCACCAACTTTCAAATAAACACACACACACACACACTAGCAAAATATAACTTGTTTATAAATGGTATGTTACTTACTGCAGGAACTCTTCTTATTCAAATAAAAACTACGATAAAATGCATGTTGCATTATAATATACATGTACTTTTTTTTATAACTTGACAAAATATACAGGGCTGCAATTACCACACATTAAAAGTAGTGAGATTAAAATTAAAAAAAAACTTTTTTTTTTTTGGTCTAACATTCAATTGTTAATTCACTACACTTTACAGATTAGAGAATAAATTCCAATATATTTGAGGTCTCTTTGCGCTCTCCCCCAAATAGGTCCAGTGCCATGATTTTGTGAGGGCCATCTAGATATGTACCTCTGAGCAGGTGTAATAGAAAATTAGTCTTGCCACTTTCTGCCTATACCAGATTATATGTATAGTACATATGCATTATCCTTTTTTAATATTCTACCATCAGGTAAAAAAAATTAAAAAAAAGATTTCATGCGGAGACCTCTCCATGTAATTAATGTCTTTCATTTTATGTTCGGAATATGTGTGTTTCCATGCACAGGCAGTCACGTTAGAAACACTTATGAATAAATTATTATAGAAGTATTAAGGATATGCATGTTTTGGGTAATATCACCCTTGACATAAGGCAGAAGTGTCCAAAATGTTATATCATCAGAAATACAACTTTTATTATGCTTTGCCAGTCTAAATGTTCTACAAAACAGAGATCTACCACTTGGAAATCCTTGCACTAAAGTATATCAGTAACACGGTCCATTGGAAAATACTATATTATACACGGTTATTCACTAAAGTGAGAATTAAGAGTGCATATCAACATTCAAGGTAGTCAAAATGGAAGCATAGGTGACAGAATATATTTGTTTTTAGTTCAGCTTTTTGGCTTTAATTTAAAACCCTGCTAGGGAGACCTGCAAATTTCATGCCAAAGTAGCTTCTCGGAAAAACAAACACACCCGACTTGCAAATAAAAACCCAACTGCCTTGTAAGTTTCCATAATTTCCAGTTTAATAAATAAAACACTAATATTTGTATTATTTGATTATACAAAAGTGAGTTGGGTAAAACCTAACCCTCATGGATATTTTGGCAGATTTTTGGATATTTAAGGAGATTTCTTATGCAAACTGTGGATGAGTATCTGACAAAGCTGATGATATGTTGCTGAACCCCATCACATAAAAGTGCTAGACACTGTAGCACTGAGAGGGAACCACATGAGCGACAACCTGCCTTTCTAATTCTTACTGAAATGTGACTACATCTGTACCATTCTATTCAATATGGTACTACTACCTGCCTTCCTAGTTAATGGTTTGCTCATAAAAGAGTACATTGCGAATTGACAACCAAACAAGCTATGCTTTTGGCTTCCAAATGCGTAATCATTCTTGCTTTAATTTTACAATACATGTTGCATATTCAACTCAAATTCACTATTTAGTTGTTAAACTCCCATTTATGTGAAATTAAGAAATGTGCATTTCCAAACTGTGACACTAGGTGGCAGTCCTCTGTTAAAAGTAGAAGCTGTTTAGAAAATCTTAAAGGAACACTATAGTCCCCTAAATTACTTTAGCTAAATAAAGCAGTTTTAGTTTATAGATCATTCCCCTGCAATTTCACTGCTCAATTCACTGTCATTTAGGAGTTAAATCACTTTGTTTCTGTTTATGCAGCCCTGGCCACACCTCCCCTGGCTATGATTGACAGAGCCTGCATGAAAACAAAAACTGGTTTCACTTTCAAACAGATGTAATTTACCTTAAATAACTGTATCTCAATCTCTAAATTGAACTTTAATCACATACAGAAGGATCTTGCAGGGTCTGGCAAGCTATTAACATAGAAGGGGCTAAGAAAATATTAATTAAACAGAACTTGCAATAAAGAAAGCCTAAACAGGGCTCTCTTTACAGGAAGTGTTTATGGAAGGCTGTGCAAGTCACATGAAGGGAGGTGTGACTAGGGTTCATAAACAAAGGGATTTAACTCCTAAATGGCAGAGGATTGAGCAGTGAGAATGCAGGGGCATGTTCTACACACCAAAACTGCTTCATTAAGCTAAAGTTGTTCAGGTGACTATAGTGTCCCATTAATCTAAAACTCATGTAGCAGAGTGTATATTCCCAATCAGAATAATGCTAGTTTCCCCACTGTGACAGCAATAATCTTCTATCCCCACACCAAAAGTGTAGAATTGCTAGAACATGTGACTAATGTCAAATGGTCTTTGATAAAAGCATGTTTTATTAGGCCACATTAAAAAGCAGCATAGACAATTTACAAAGGTACCACTTACAGTTAACACCTGTAATAGCACACACAGACTTCTACACCTAGCACTTTCTTCAATCGAGATGGTAAAGATCTCACACTTCCCAAGCTGTTATGTCAGACAGCTCACTGTTACCAGTACCTTCTGAAAACCAAAGCATTTGCTTCACTATATTAGAAAGCCTTATGACAATTTTAAAAATGGAACTAATTACACAAACACACACATATATATATATATATATATTAAAATCTCTTTCTGTATCTGTTGGGTTTATTCACTAAGCTGTGAGCTGACAGATCTCAGGTCAAAATAGTCAGGTTGGGAGCAATTTTCAGTTTAAACATGGGTTTAGGTCACTAAACTCATCCTTTAGTGAATAATCCTCTGGATCATAAATACGTAACCACATAACCAGGTTAACTAAAACAGAAATAATGTTGTGCATCATCTTTTTTAAACATGACTAAGGAGAAAACAAAAAAAATAGATCTTTGTTTCCAGGGAGGAATCCCATGTCTCAATATATAAAGCAAAAGCAACTACACTTGGAAACATTTGCAGATTCTATTTCATATTTAATTTGCACGTTTTTGTACAGAAAAGTTCAGATTATCTTTAATAAAATACAATGTCATGGTAAAGAATTCAGAAAGAATTTTTTTTTTTTTGTTTAACTAGAGAATGGGAACCATAGAATTAAAACACTGAAATACAATAACTTATCTATACAGGATCTGGGTGCAGAATTAACCCTTTCTTTGCTGGCAGATCCAGTTTCAGAGATGAATAGAGACCTGTGATGTGCTGAGGTGGTAACAGAATAATTAAACTCTTCTGCATAAGGAGTATAAGGGTTACTTTTTGGAGTCCAAGTTTTTTTCTTGCAGGCTGTATTCAAACGTTCCTTCGTCAGAACATTCCAGGAAAGAATCGATCGGTCCTGCCTTTCTAACTACTGTTAGGCTAGAGCTCCATTGCATCCAGGGTAGCTTGCAACATCTTACCCCTCTGACAGAGAAGGGATTACTATAAAATTTTGTATTGATGAGTGCCACAATGAGATCATAATTGCATGTGGATGCTCTGCATCGCCACACAGTTATTTATCAGTATATTGATAATCAGCTTGACCTAAATAGCAAACCGTGTTCATTATCAGTTTACAAAGATACTCTGCTAGCTTACATCAAAAAATGGAATGTTCCCATGGAATCGGAAGTAATCAGATTATTCCATATTATCCCTGGGCCTGCGATGGATGGTTGGGGTTTAACCTTGTGAAGGATGGGTCTTGCAATAAAAATATAACACGCATCACACAATGTTAATAGACCCCTCTCATTGTCATTGGAGTGAAAAAACTGACCCAGGGCAGTAGGGCTTCTAACTGCACCCCAGTCTATTTAAAGGTGGAGAAGAAGAAGTCTAGTTGTGTCTGAACATCTGCTCCACCCCTGACATTATAGTGTTTGTTCATTTCCTTCAATCAGCTTTTTCACTGCACTCGCATCACATGATCTCACAGCAAGAGTTTTGTTTCCGTGCCTGGAAAAGGATGAAGAAGAAACAAACAAATTATTGGTGTTTCAGAGATGATCCATGTTATAGCATGTTACTGGTAAAATAATAAAGCATTGATATATATATGATAGTAGATGTTTTTCCACTATAACGTAAATTGCATATAATGTAAATTGTTCTAACCTCAATATAGCCCAACTATGTCAATTATCCCCATATTTATCCATTCTGGAAGTCCCAGACTATGCCCTCTGCACTTATTTCATAAGACACCAGCTAACCCCATATGTCTATCACATAAGACACAAGTTATCCTCCCCATGTATTCATTTCACAATACACTAATTTTTTTCTCCCCTGTGTTCACTTCATAAGACAGCAGATATTTCCACCCCACTTAAATGCACACTATAGGCGCCCAGATCACTTCAGCTCATTAACGTGGTCTGGGTACAGTGTCCCAGGGTCCCTTAACCACGCAATGGTAATTATTGCACTGTAGGGAACTCAAGTGCCAGGAAAACAACTTTGTTTTCCTGTCATTAGTTTCCCTTTAATTAGAACTTCCTTACAAGATACATCATACACATCTATATATGTCCATACAATAGCCAGACTCTTTGTTCATCAAGACACAAAATACTGTCACATGTTTTGATGATACTGTATATATATATTACTTCAACATTTATTCACAAGAAGCCTGCTAAACTTCACTGCATTAACAATCTGCAAGCATCCCACATACAGTATAGCTCTAACATCACAGCTCATCTCTCTAGAATCACTTACAGTTTTGTAGAAGGCTTTGGATTGTGTTCCCAGCACCTCAGATTTACTGACCAAGTCATCTAGCTTCTCTCCACGTTGTAATAATGACTCCATGGTGTTGTGCTTAAAACAAAAACACAAATGACAATATTTATAAAATGCAGCATTACACTACTGCAAAGAGAGAAACCGATGAACACTTCGAATGTTTGTAACAAAAAAGAATGTGGTGAGACAATAAAACACCCCAGTGCAATTGCAAACATTACTGTTATGCATCAACTGCATATCTCAAGAAGATCTCAATGTCCAACTTGAAACATGTAGGTGATGCACAATAGTATTTTTTTTTTTTTTTTTTTATATACATCTCTGACATGAATGTATCATCTGACTTGGATACAGAACACATTTCACTCTCTGCTGTTCTTCACCTAATTTGTGTGACAATAAAAGTTCTTACCAGTATAATTTTGGTCTCATCTAGCTCAGCTTGCACTTTGCTCATTGGATCTGCGTCCCGAGGGTTCTGGGAAATTAAAAAAAAAAAAAAAGGAAAAAAACATCATCAATACAAATGATTTTCTGTACTCCGTAAAGATAAAAGATATAAATGTGACGGATCGACTTCTCCATTCCAGATGCAATTGACAGTTTATGAACTGGCAGATGTTTCCAAGTCCAAAGAGATGGAATTATTTTTTACCTTCACGTTTTAATAAATTATCAATACTACTTTCTTTATATTATTCAGGCTCTCTCATAAATTCCCATAAAGGTGATCATTTATGGTAACTGAAAACAAGTAGGCGTTGCATTAAAGGACCACTCTAGGCACCCAGACCACTTCAGCTTAATGAAGTGGTCTGGGTGCCTGGTCCAGCTAGGGTTAACCCATTTTTTAATAAACATAGCAGTTTCAGAGAAACTGCTATGTTTATGAATGGGTTAAGCCTTCCCCTATTCCTCTAGTGGCTGTCTCATTGACAGCCACTAGAGGCGCTTGCGTGCTTCTCACTGTGATTTTCACAGTGAGAGCACGCCAGCGTCCATAGGAAAGCATTGCAAATGCTTTCCTATGAGACCGGCTGAATGCGCGCGCAGCTCTTGCCGCGCGTGCGCATTCAGCCGGCGGGGGAGGAGGCGGAGAGGAGGAGAGAGCTCTCCGCCCAGCGCTGGAAAAAGGTAAGTTTTTAACCCTTTCCCCTTCCAGAGCCGGGCGGGAGGGGGTCCCTGAGGGTGGGGGCACCCTCAGGGCACTATAGTGCCAGGAAAACGAGTATGTTTTCCTGGCACTATAGTGGTCCTTTAATTCTTCCCCCAATATGGCAAATTAAGAAGGTTATGGAGCACATGACAGATTTCATTGTTGAAATTTGTTGAGGAATGTCAGAAAAAGGATGTGATTACAAGCGGCAAGCATTTTTGCAGAAAAGTGGAAAGAGTCCATTCTCTAAATAACTGAGGATGGGAAATTTAATAAGAAAGATCCAATGTAAACAAAATAAATGACATTTCAGAAGTGGTTTAGTAATGAGAATATTAAATGCAACAATAGCTGTGAGCGGCATAGAGGTAGTTAATTAAATGAATAGGTTAGGATGAGAAGTTGAAATCGTTATCATTGAGATCCAGACTCTTGATCAGTTATAAACCACTGCATGTTTCAGTTTGGCTAACAGCACATTTGCTAAACCCTTTAAAGGGACACTATAAGCACTGAAATAACTGTAGCTTAATGAAACTGTTTTGGTGTATAGATCACACCGCTGCCCTCTTACTGCTCAATTCTCTGCTATTTGGAAGTTAAATAACTTTAGTTCCTTTTTATGCAGCCTTAGCCACACCTCTCCTGGCTTTGACTGACAGCTTACATGACAAAAATGGTTTCATGAACTTTTTATCTCCTGACAGGGGGAGAGCATAGTATCGATTGTTACGTAGAACTCATTGGTGTGAGCAGAGTTTGAATCCCAGCTCCCACCAAAACTCTAGGATGTCAACATGCCCTAACAGAGTTAAAGTCCAGTAAGGTTAGCATGTATTGACATGACCCAACATTGTAAAGTATATAATGCAGGGTTGCCTATCAGCCCTCCAGCTGTGCTGAAAATATATTCTCCATGAGGGGTTCCTAGCTCAAGGTTACATCCTAGAGGGAGCTACCCCATCACCATCCTTGGCTTAACAGACCCCTAAGATATCCATTTAATTTACCATCCACATTGCATGAAGATTTTGAACATTCAATGCTTCACTATAGGCATGTATATTAAGTCCTGATAACATGTGGAAAGTACAAAATGCTTTCAATGAGAAGCATTTAAGTGTACAGAAATATTACAAGGCCTGATGAGTAAAGGCATATTGAGTTGCAAACAAGAGGTTGTCTCAACACTGGATTACAGGTAAATCCCTGAAATCTAAAACCCCACTGACATACTGAGGTTAAAATCAATATATGTTTATTGCACACATTAGTGTCCCTTTAAGTTGTGTTATTTTATGTGTGTGGCATTCAAGTTGTTAAGCTGTCCAAATACCTGATACTTGCTGAGGTAAGATTCCAAAGCATCATATTGGATGGTTGAGGGAGAGCCAGATGGCCAGTCTATTCTGTCAACCTGGGTGGAGAACTCTTCAAGCACCTGGAGAAATACATATACATTGGCTGTGATACTAAAACAAGTACATCAAGAAAAAAATACTACCTAGTTAACTATGAAATGGTTAAAGTGGCTCTGTCACATCAAACTTAACTTTATCCTATTGTTTCCTCTTCTCATCCTTGTTCAGAATCTCTTCTTTTCTGATGTATTTCCCTTTAAAACATAAGAGAAAGCAGAGACTACTTTATCTTATGCATTTTTCCAACACTTGGCAATCTTGACAAAGAGTGGAGCTTAAGGCAAGTTTCACCAATTGCTAGCTTGACAAAGGCAGTTCTGTGACAATTGTCAAGCTTAGGAAAAATACATAAGTCACAGTATTCCCTACTTTGTCTTTTTTTTGAGAAATAGATCCGAAATGAAGACAAGAACAACAGATTCTGAAAGAGGAAGAGAAAAAGAAACCATACAAGAAGTAAGTCTGAGGTGACAGAGCCACTGTAAGTTGTTTGTCAAGGATCAGGGGTAAAGCAGAAGTTACAAACAAGAAATTTATTTTATTCTTTTCATAAAGCTAGAAATACAGCATTTGTCTGAAATAAAGAAAAAACAACAACAAAACATTTACTGTCTGGCGGAAGGCAAATTGCAAAAGTAAAGGAACACTCCAGCCCATTATAAGTAGACAAACCAATAGAAAGAGAATTGACTTTATACCTGGGATCCCCTGGGTGTTGCTCATGACAGCTTTCAGGAGAACTGGAAGCTCCTGCTAAAGAGATTCTGTTAGCTCTCCTGAGTTAAACCCTCTAGAGCAGACTAGCTCATTGAAAGAGTGTCAGCTGTTTAACCCCTTAAGGACACATGACATGTGTGACATGTCATGATTCCCTTTTATTCCAGAAGTTTGGTCCTTAAGGGGTTAAACCAGGTGTAAATTGGTATGATAATTCAGAAGAATGAGCTTACACTTTATCAGATCAGCTCAGACTGGAAGGACCCCAGGAGTTTGACAAAGTAAGATAAGTATGAAAATATGTAAAAGATTTAACATGTTATTAGTTAAAGGTGCCCGGGGACAACTGGAACTAGTGTACTATAGTAGTTATGGTGCTTGGAATAGATTTGTTGTCTGTGTTTCATTGTTTTTAAATTGACAAAGAAATTAATTTTTAATTGAAATATACAAAATGTAGATCAAAGCGATCAGCTATCGCAGTTCATTTGTATAATTGTCGTGTGGTGAATTACAATGTATGAAAGTGTGTGTTTGCCTCATCATGTTGGGATTTGTGTTTGCAAAAAGAAAAACCTAATTGAAATTTTCATCCATCTGGGATCAATGCAATGAAAAGTATTCTGGATAATGACGCTATAAAAGAACAAGAAGAAACAAAAAATAAACCTTCAGACTTTTATAACTGCAGTCCCAAAGTTTTATTCATAAATCTTATTTACCTTCTCCAACAGGGTGAAGCAGACTCTTTGAGGATATTCTGTATCAGCAATAACCACCCCAGCTAGACAGTCGTTTCTTACATAGACATGGCACAAATATTCTGTAAGAGGGGAAAGCATGATGGACAGTGAGTGTTACTGATGATTTTGCAAAGAAATAGATCAACTTCTTTATAGATTTTTTGTTTTTATTATTATTACACATCATGAGAAATTACAAGAATAAACAATATCAAACGGGCCTATGATTTTATACACAAACAGATAAACAATATTCTTATATGTGTTCCAGTTATTCAGGGTTCTGCTTAGTATAGATTCTAGAAATCCCCAGCCCTGCTGGTACAAATTGTGTTAGAATGCTATGTTCCAACATGCGTTCCACTCATAACTGCCTTAAGTGAGGTGGAATGCAAGGTACCCAAAACTAACTACTCTGACAGTGTAAAGATATCGAATGGAAGTTAAAACACTTATTAGCATCAAGAGACGACCTGTGTCTCTTTCACTTAGATCACAAAAAAAAAAGAAGATTTGTAATGGATACTTAAATCTTTCTCATCCTTTAGTTTTTGCATTATTTTTACTTTTAGTAATTTAACATATTAAAAGATAAAATGAAAAATGGATAGCTAAAATTTTCATACTATCAACATATTCATCTCAACATATTAGTCTCCTCATTGCATAATGCAAAAGCTGTCTAATATCCGAAGGAAGGTTTTAGAGTGATAACAGGCAAGAGTAACAAAACAATGCTCTCTTTGTTCCCACTGCCAGTGTCACCCATATGTAACAACGTACAGCACATAATAGATGCATGTGACCAAGTACTGACTTCTCTTTCCATTGCAGACACATTTTTAAATTACCCCATCCCTCCCCATCTATATTTAATCTAAAATAGCTAACTTGAGACTATGGAGAATTATACAAGGAAGATGGATCATTTCTCAAAATCAGCTATACTTGCCTAAATTTTACCATTCATATTTATATTTGCTACAATTTGAGTTTAGTGACTAAACCTCTAGATCAGTGGTTCCCAAACCTTTTAGGTTCAAGGCACCCTTAATATTTCAATATTTTTCCAAGGCACCCCAAGTCAAAATTTCTAGGTTGTATAGCTGTACAGCGTTGCCACATTTACTGGCGCTATAGTGTAATGTACAGTGTTGGTGTTTGAAGAGGTGCTTGTATACATTTAGTGTGTTTTAATACAGGGGTGTGTTTGTAAGAGATGTTTGCGTTTGATTGCACAGGTGTGTCTGAATTTAATATTCACTTTTTTTTTTTTTTTTTTTCAATTCTTTATTTTTTCTGTGCATGGAAATAACAAGCATGTGTAGTGTGCCACAACAGCACGCATATTATGTGTATCAATATTCACAATTTGGCACTATAGTACTGCACATTTTTTTGTTGTTGTTGTTGTTAACAGTTAGGTACATGCCATATACATTTATAAGCATAAGTTGATTGTCATTGTGATAGTGTATTGGGAGAGTAGCTTAATGCATGTTAGGTGTAGCCTGTTGTGTATGAGTGAATGGCATGTGTGTGGCCTGGCTGCCGTGGGTGAATCATGCTATGCCCCAGTGACAGGCTGCGTAGATGCGAGGAGGCATGTGGGGATATTGTGTGTGCTAAATGAAAAATATACTTCAGCTATCGATTAGGTATAACGTATGCCTGTATGGTTTGTGGATATATCAGGCGAGGTACATATTTCTAATACCAGGCATATGTGCTTGTATCACGAGAAGTGCTAAGCAGAACATAAATAAGGAGCATGGCTAACGAGCAAGAGCAAAGTAAATCGGTCAAGCAGTGCATATTACATTAGCAAGCTGAGGTAATAATAGACATAGGAACGGTGCTTTAGTTGTAGCCTGTACAGTGGGATAATGCTTTATCACCGCTCACGGGCTTGTAGGAGCATATTCCGTCTCCGGTGCAGTCCATCTTGATTAGCCAATGCCAGTTCTGGAGGCTTGACAGGTGGGCCAGGTACATTGGTAGAGTTGGTGCCACGGCTCTGCTCTGTCACCCGTAGGTCTTGGAGGGTCTCTCCGCCCGTGTCTGTCGCTGGTAGGGTGATGTGCTGCATTGCGGTGATAGTATAAGTTGCGCTTCGTTGGTCGAATGATTCTGGTGCCGCTGAGTGGTGAGTAGGTCGGGCAGGCTTGGTGGTCTCGCTCTGGTGTGTGTGAGGGCGAGTGCTGGAGTCTGGGGGGTATGACGCCATTTCCCACCATTCCAGTCTCCAACCTTTTCTCTGTCTGGAGGCTCGGGGTGGGTATCTGCATAGGAGGCGTCGGGTAGCCGGGCGAATCCATGCCGCCATTTCCCTCAACACCAGGTGGTAGTGCTGGCCCTTGGTGCGGAATTTTGTCCCTATGTTGGCACAGAGCCTGTCAAAGAACTCCAGGGTGTGCTTGGGTGGTGTGGTGAGGGTGCTGTTTGTCGCCAGACGCGTCCGTGCCGCCATCTTGCTTGGGCCCACACAGTCCCTCTCGGCTGCAGGTTTAGTCGCTTGTTTGAGCCGCGTTGTTGGGGTAGTCGACCCCCGCGAGGACCAGGATAACCCCCGCCGGTCCAGATGGGGGGGTAGCAGGGCAGTGTTCGATTGCCGTTTCTGAGCAGGTCCCGTGCCGGGAGATCGGCCGCTTCCCCCAGGCCTCAGGCTCCGCTCTGGTGTGGGCCGCGTGGCCGGTTCAGGTGCTTGTTTCATGTTTCGGTGCAGGACGGGTACCTTTCTATTCCCCGTGTGGTCCTGTTTCGTTTTTTGGGTGTCTCGTGTAGCTGGCATTGTTTGGGTAGTCAGAATAGTCGTTTTTGTGCCTGCTGGTGCAAGAGCCCTCAGTAAGCACGTCTGGCCATCTTGGCTGTCAGGCCCCGCCCCCTCTAATATTCACTTTTAACATTTGTGTGAAGTATTTGTGCTTGAGTAAAGGGATGTGTTTGTATGTAACATTTGTGTTAGATTGCAGGAGTGTGCTTGTATGTTGTGCTGGTGTTTGACTAATTGGATGTATGCACATACATACATACGTACTTACACAGATATTCATGCACATCCACACAGATATGCATATAAATACACACCGACATATACACACATGCACCCTGACACAAACATTGATACATGCCCCCACCATGACACAGATACACACCGACATAAAAACACACAGATATATTCACATACACACGTGATTTTTTTTTTTTTTTTTATCTCCAGCCACCCTCCTGTTAGCTTACCTTATGTGCCAGGAGGGTGGTGGAGTCATGCTGCTGCTGTAAGAGTGAGGGGTCTGGAGCTCTTCATGCTCCTCTCCCTCCCAAGCTGTTTACCTGCATGACGCTGGTAGGAATGGACAGGTTGTCACTTGATCCTAGCCGGCCGACATTACAGGGGCCTGGTTGCGGTCTTAAAGGGCCGCGGCACTCGACCGGGTCCATATTGAGCAGTAATGTTTTCCGCGGTGCTATAATCATAGCACCGGGGAAATATTCCCCGCTACCCTGGCACACAGTTTGGGAACCGCTGCTCTAGATCTATTCTCTTTGAATCATATTCTCCTTTATTTCCCAAGTCAGTAATTTTTTTACCATCACTTACCTTGCTCTTTCACAGATGATCGACTTCCTTTCTGTGACCGCTCCACTATTAACTGACTGGTGAAAGTCATAAATTCCTGGACACTATGGAGACATGCAGTGATTAGAATGCAAGAACGGATTACAAATGGTGATTTTATTTAATACTAGTCATTAGAGATGTCCCGAACGGTTCGCCGTGGACGGCGAACATTTGCGCTGTTCGGTCCGCCCACTATTCGTCATCATTGAGTAAACTTTGACCCTGTACCTCACAGTAAGCAGACACATTCCAGCCAATCAGCAGCAGACCCTCCCTCCCAGATCCTCCCACCTCCTGGACAGCTCACTAAGAATGCAGCTTCACAATGAATGTAAAATGGATGCTGTCTAGGAGGTGGGAGGGTCTGGGAGGGAGGGTCTGCTGCCGATTGGCTGGAATGTGTCTGCTGACTGTGAGGTACAGGGTCAAAGTTTGCTCAATGATGACATAGGGGGCGGACCGAACAGCGCATATGTTCGCCGTCCGCGGCGAACCGTTCAGGACATCACTACTAGTCATACCTGCATGGGTTTTCATGTAGGCCAACATATATAAAACCACATAACAAAACTTTTGCATAAGCAAACCAAAAAATAAAGATTTTAATGGGATTGTTAGGAATACAAAGTCGTGTTCCTAACAATATAGTGATCTCTGCCCCCACCCCCTATTATTGTCCTTTAGTGTCCCTTTAAACTTTTTTTACTGCACACATCTTCTTGTGATGAATTGCATATGGTCTCACTCTTATGCTGGTACCAGTAATACAATGATGGCTAACCTCTGTAATAACAGCTGTAATGGACTACCATCATTGGCGGGAGTGTCAATAGCAATTACTTCTGGAACTGTGAAAAACATATACCAATCACAAGTGGTTCACATGGAGCATCTTACCTGGATCTTTGGAAGAAACTGAAGGAGGACAAATCATAGGCACTTTTCAGCAGATGGACCTTGTAATCCCCTTTATAAAGTATACTCAAACTGTATAACCTCATGGTGACTTGGCCTGTAAGTAAAGGGAAGATAAATGAGTGTGTACCTGGCCAGCTGTGCACAGTGAGTGTGTAATATACACAAATAACACCCAACACACCATGTACACACACACAATGTACATATATACATACATATACACACACACACAGAGCTTACCTAAGGCAGGGGGTGTGTAGCGATATAGTCAGAGTATTTACTAACAATCCTAAATCCTCTCACTGCTGCGAGTTACTATCTCAGTCTCCCACCAGCTCGCCCTCCTATCCTTTCAGGTAGCCGCTCTATCGGTTTCAGTCCCCGGCAGGAAGCGACCCTTCCCGTTACACGTCACAAACCGGAAGCGCGTCCTGCAAACACTCTCTTCCGCCACGAAAACCATAGAAACTACATCTTCCAGCGCGCTGTGGAGGCGGGAGTGCAGCAGAATAGTTACCGAGTAGAAACAAATGGCTGGGAGTTAGGTTCCGAGGGAGGCGACGAAATTATTTGCAACGGCTTTCACCGTGTCCCAGCGGTTGTTGTAAACCGTGACTAAGAGACTGGCTAAGCTTGCTGGGAGTTACAAATGTTGGGAAGCAACTGGAAGGACAGCATTGGCCATTACTCACTCTAAGGCCTTGGTTTAGTTCTTTGGGATAAGCTTTTCAAATTAATACAATATTTTCAAATTATAGAAAACCTTTACAAATTATTTATCTACAAAAATCCCCACAGATTTTAATTGTGACTTCTGTAAGTAAATCATTTGGAAAGTTTTTCTAAGAGACTGATAATCTGAAAAAGTTTAAAGGGACACTATATGCATTGGGTGCTATGTGCCTGTCTCTTAAAGGAACACTTTATTGTTAGGAATACAAAGATGGATTCCTAATACTAGTGTGCCAACACACCCTCCATGCACATTAGGCCTTTCCCATAGGAAAGCATTGAATCAAAGCTTTGCTATGATAATTTGGAAGTCCCAGAATCTACCAGAGTAAGGGTGTGTATAGGATATCAGGTCTGTTTCAATGTATGCAATTGTTTAAGGTTACGTAATGGATTAAAATGAAAATTATCTAAAAACTGTGGCCCAGATGTATCAGCTAGGCAAATAAATTACCTCATATTTCAAAGTTCCAGACATCTTACAACTGACTGTATATATAGCATATAGATAATGATAACAAGGCTAAATTAAGAGAAGTTACACTGATTTGGCAATCATTGAAGGCAATAGACAAAAAGACATATAAACATAGCAATAGCTACATGGACCAGTAAAAAATTGGCATGCAAAAAAAAAGTGTTATTTACTCATGCAATGAAAATATGTTACTTTCTATAATTCATTTGTAAAACTCCACTTTGTATATTCAGTGTAAATTAAGTGCTATATGGTAGCTCAAAATACACAGGTGAACTACAGATTAGTAATAGAAGACCCTTTATTTATAAGCTAGAAAAGGTACAGTTGTTTATACTAGGAAAAAGTAATGCATATATGCAAGATCAACATGAGGAGCAAACTGGTGACATAATAGGATTGCTCAATTAATACAAAGCGATCTACTTAAGGAAAGGAGATTTAAACTACAGCAGAATAATCAATTATTCTTCATTTAGAAGAATAAAGATGTCAAATTCACTGTGACGTTGTACTGTACTGTGACGTTTGCTTTTGCTGTCAAAAGCAAATTTACAAACTGCTTCACTTTTGGGTTAGTGAGCACGTGACATAATTAAGTACAACATGATATGTTGTTGGCTTTTTCTGCCTGTAATAACAATACTCATTGCATACACAATTGTCTTCAACCTTTGCTCTGCATGGAGCTGACGTCAGAGCCTCTTTTAGAGAGGTGGGAACAACCTGGAAATAATAGCTAACGGAGCAAAGGTTGCTTTGTGAGCTAAGTGATGAAGTGTTTGCCGGAGGTGACGGCTCATTACCTGAGTGACGTGATTCTGCATGACCTCCCTAATGTCCAGAAACAGAGAGGCCCGAGGGCCTTACTGGAAAAGATAAGTGAAGTGCTCAGGATATGGAGTGTAGAAATTATTATAATTCCTGATCAGATGTAGATATTTGCTGAGTGTGCCATGGCATTCTGCACACACTATATCATCATCAAACAATCATGTCAAGGGCAATTCGAGGTATCCCTCTGCTAATTGAACCCTTCAAAAAATTGGTGAAGGTATATTACATTGTTACTCTCACTGGTTCTAGAACAATCACACATTATTTCTTTGTTACTGCCACTGGTTCTTTAACAGGCAATGTAATAGGCCTTACACTACGTGGCCTCAACATATACTGCACAGAAAGATTTGGGCCTCAAATAAGGTCTGCCCCTCATAAAAAGAGACATCTGGGAGGTATGAAAATGGTTAACTTTTATACTAGATCTAGCATAAAGTAGAGTAATTTCAGAATGTTGACAGGACCCTGAAATCAGGACATTCCTGATTTCGCAGTCCTGTATCGCGATCCTGTTTTAATTGAAAATAGGAGACAGATTTATTCCCAGAACTAAGAATGTTACCAGTAATGCTAAAACATAACTTGTGTTAATTATTTTATTTATTATTTAATGACCGGTGTTGGGGACTTGTTCCAATGCCTAAATCGCCTATTAAAGATGCGTGCACTATACAGCTATTGACTTGGGGTGGCGATTTTAGGAATTGCACTTAATTTAAGCAGCTAGTTCTACATCTAATTAATACATACATTAACTATGTATAGTTAATATCATTTTAACTATCACAATATATATCCCTGGGATGTTTTTTGTTCCTGAATATTGTTACTCTTCTGTGTAAGTTATTTACTTTGGCCATTTTAGTTACATTGTATTTATCTACAAGTTGACCTTGTGTGTTTGATACACATGAGATATATATATTTTTAGTTGAGTATTTGAATTACTTCTAGCTGTCTTCTTAGAATTCTTATTTTTATTATATTTTTAAGTATCTTTTTGATGTTGTATATTAACCTTGTTAGGGGTTACCACCTCTCTCCTTTCCTAGAACATTGGATATAGCTCTTCCTTTATTGTTGCCATCCTGTTTTAGTTCCCTGGTTTCCCATATATGAGAGGACCAGGCAACTGTTCCAGGTAGCAGAGTGTGAGTGCATTGATCTGTCAGTAAGGGTTCATCCAGACAGGCTGTCAATTAGCTTAGTGTGCTTGACACCAGACTGAGACGCCAATTCAGGGGGGAGTTGAGGGTTGGAGGGGGGTGTCCCTCTTTTCTGGGCAGACCAGCCCGTTATGGGTATCGTCGTTGATGCATGTCACATCACTGGCGACAGGCCTCTCAGTAAGAAAGAAAGCAACCAAGTTGTCACTGTTTCCTTTACAGTGAAAATAATGGGCAGCCTACTTCATAATGGAATGGTAAAGGGAATAGGGAAGATTTGGTGCTGAACTTGGTCAGGCAGGAAGTGATCTTTCTGCTAGCTCGGTCCACTCAGGCAAGAAATTATCCTTTTGCTTGATTTGTTCAGACAGGAAGTGATCCTTCTGTCTACTCAATCCACTCAGGAATGGAGTGATCCCTGTGCCTGCTTCTGACCGCGTCTGTATAAAGATGCTTTTTTGGCTCTGAAGCCTAGTTCTTGTGCCCACAGGTATTTTAATTCTGTAGCTAATTCCAAACACAAAGGAGCAGTCACAGTGTAGCCAGAAGATAGACCCTTATACTCTGTCACTGGGCTCATTGAAAGGACCAAACAGACACTGTTCCAAAATTAACTAGATCATTTCTTCATTTTTAAACTGGTATAAAGTCCATTGTCAATGTACCAGCTTAACACACTCCTTAACTTATAAAGGATATCATGATGTGAGTGTGCCAGTGCAGTAGTCCTATATAGATAGAATGTTCATATGAGATTCTTTTATATCTACTATGACTGGCACCTTTTTGTCACAAGGCACAGACATCATGGGAGGACTAGCAAGGCCTCTAGTAAACAGGCAATGTGGGCTGCAAAAACACAATTTGATGTCTGTTTCGGTGTTGCAGGAGTGAATTAGCAGGCAAGATACATGCAGAGCCATTGCTAGACCAGAACTGTGAGTGCTGGTGTTTGGACCCATGGCTTATAATATTCTCCAGGCCTGGGCTAGCCTGCTGGGATATTTATTTATTGACTGCAGTATCTGGGGTAGACTTGACTGGCTACTAAAATAATGCGTAAAAATTTGCTGAAAAGTGACTGCTGGGCAAGAAAGTGCTCATGGAATTCACAAGCTATGGTTGTCATTGGTGGCAAGAGTCATGGTAAAGATAGTCTGTGTCTCTTAGGCATGCTCAGATCTCTGTGAGTGTTCTGTCATACTGTGCAGGTCACACTGATGGAGGTTCAGGATGAGATTTGTGTTTTATTGATTTATTCGTTCAATTTTAAGAAATTCCTTGAAGAATTTTTTTTTTCTCACATACATTAGGTGTGTCAAAAAAAATAGATAAATAGAAATGGTCATATGCCTTACTTACCAGTATTTGTCAGGACCCTGATGGTATTACTAGTGGAATAGTTACTGAAAATGACAACAGCAATCTTTATCAATCTCTGGAACGCTAATGTAATGCTCATTCACTCTCCCCCCCGACCCTTGGAGTGGTATAAACCATTGAAATTTCCTTTCCTGTTTGAAGGGAGATGTCATTTTCAGTACATTTGGATAAGATAAATGAGTGACCAGTGGCTCCTGGAAAAGACATGTATTCCTCTGCAAACTGCTAATCATTCCTAGAGTATAAATGATGGTGAGGGAGGCTTTATGGACGAAACATTTACACAAACCTGGGAGTGATAAAGTTAAGGGCTAACTGTAAGTGTTGTATCCCTTATTGTGGCATGATAATGCAATCTTGATTATCAGGTTAGCTGTCATATCGGGACATAGCACCTAGCACTTCTGGACCTTCTCCTGAGAATACATGTGGACTCTAGTAGCTAGCAGCTCTAATAAGGACTCTTATGAGATGTCAAGAGGAGGATATAGAAAGCATGTGTACTTCCTTCTCAGCATGTCAAGGTATAAACTAAATGGCAAAACTGAGAGGAGACAACGTCAGGATTCAAGAGAGCAGGTAAGTTAAACAAGCCAAGGTCAGTATAAGAAGCAATTAGGGATGGTCAGTAAATGAAGCTGGTTCAGGAAAACGGATAACAAGGACACAATCAGAGTAGGCTGAGGCTTAGTGCGTCACAGCAGTTCACCATCAGAATACAATGGAGTAATATCAATGACACAGCAGTTAGGAGGGTTCTCCTGCTTCATTTAGTTCACTTTATTTTCAGCATAGACTCTGTGCCCGTGTCTATGGCGGAGGTTGATTGTCAGGTGGGCAGGCAGTTTTATATTTAATTAAAAAAATAATTGAAAATCTATACATTTACCTATAATCGTATAGATTAAATGCTACACTCTTCAAAATGAATATACATTTTGTGTACCATGACAGGTACACGTTTGCAGATATGGGGCTAGTCACTAAAGTATGAATTGGCAGATTCATAGTAAATGCGATATTTGAGTCCAAAACAGCTGACTTGAAAACATAGTTTGCATTTTTCCAGTTTGGTTAATGTGATCTAAAATTTAAAATTCACTTTGAATTCCTGACGATTCTCATTTTAGCGAATCAACCAGATTGGATTAAATACACCAGTTACTCTAAGAAACAGGTGAGCAGGTTTAATGCTCAGTGCATTTGGCTATAAATAGCAAGCTGTCACGTTGTATGGAAGGGGTGGAGAATGCATTAATTCTTCCTGGGCTGTGTTATATTCCTCTCATGATAGTAAAGCATAAAAAGGGGTAGAGTCCTCCAGTTCATCAGATGGATGCCAGACCGTGAAGACCAGGTTGTGTGCTCACTGTTTCTGAATTCACTCTTTTGCGGCCTGTAATAATATAAAGTGACAGAAATATCCTATTACAAACTGCTTATTGAATAAGAACTATTTTATCATACGTATAATTTTTTTTTATGGAAGAGTGCAGAACCCTTTTGAAGGACAAGTAAAGAGGTAGAAGTCATTTTAAAAGGAGAGGACACCAGCTGAGAGGGACTGGCAAAGACTCTGGAATATTAATGAATGTTTAGCACCGTGAACAGCTACTGACAAGTTATAAGGTGCACACCATTGTACTTCCTACACACCTTACGTCTTCAGTGCCCTCATGCTGGATAACAGGTGCAGAATGGAACCCACCCAAATGCGAAAGGTAAGAGATCTTGTTGTGTTGTGCTCCACATACTTTTCCTTCTAACTTACACCAATCATGCATCTCCTTTGATTATCATTCAGAAATATCTAACAGGGGACCTGAAATATAAGTATCTTGCACTTGATATTTTACAGTGTAGGAGATCAATACCATTGAGGTGCAGTCAGAGTACCTCCGGTACTCAGGGAATTGTCAACAACGGCTTGCAGTGTTCATGATGAAGATGTAGGCTACAACAGCCTTGATTGAAAATTCTGATTTTGTCCTCTCATGGAGTCTCTAAAATACGATTGTCTTGTTTTCCTTTTTTTATTTTTTTTATTTCCTAGAGCACTAGTGCAAAACTACTCAGAAACCCGGCTAAACTAGTAGGTGGCAGCCATAACGGTGGACTCCCCACCTACCTCCACTATGTGCAGTAAATATAGACCACAAAATAGTGAATGGAGTACCGCTGATAATCCAACAAACATGGAAAAGCCTACCAAAAGCCCTCTCTATTACAAAAGTCATCACTCTGATGGACAGTAATGAGTGATAAAAATTAGTGTAAACTTTGTTTTAATTAAAACACTATTTTAATACTTAATAATATCCAGTGTAACTATACAATGCACAGAAGTTCATGTGATGGAACAGCTAGCCAATTATTTTGGCTCCTCTGTGTTTTTGACTCGGGAAAGTAACACATTGGCAATTTCCTGAAATGTATTTATTTTATAGACACCAAATTATATGGCTATTTTGTGGGCTGTTTATTTTATTTTTGTTTTTAAATGATATTGATGTCTATTGACATAATATAATTCCTAGGCATCATTCCTTTAAATCAACACTAAAGTCACCCAGACCACTTAATCTCAATAAAGCAGTCTGGATGCAATGGTCTACATTTTTAACCCTTCAAGATAAATCATTGCCGTTTTGCAGAAAACCTGTTAAACATGTTTCTAGTGGCAGTTTCTGCTGTATAACCAAATTGGACTTAGTCACATGACGTTCAATGTCCTCCTTCTAAGCTTTCCTATTAGAAGCATTTGATTAGATGCGTGTTCACCACGCATGCACGTCTGATGAACAATTGGACAAATGATGAGGAAGCAATGCCTTCCTGAGGACATCGCAGGAGGCGGATCAGGCAGCAGTGCCGAGGAAATCTTGGCAATGGAAAAGGGCATGTAAAAAATGTTTTTTTTTTTTTTTTACAGGTTTTAAACAGCAAAGGGAGGGGCCTTCAATCTACTTAGCTGATTAGCCTTGATCCAGGCTCTATCAGGAGCCGAAACATTGCTGGTCTTCGTCCAATATACCGGTCTGAATTGTAGACCTGTGCCCATTCCTTTTCTTTATTATATACTACAGCTGGGGTTTTGTCACCTCTTTACTGGAGGCACAGTCACTATACCAAACATATGCCGTCCCAACCCTTTTCTTGTATTGAATCTAATTAGAGACACGGACACTATTGTGTTTGGAATACAACTTTGCTATAGTGCTTCTTTAAGTATTAAAATAATTTATTTTTAAAGGATTTTACTTACACATAACTGTTATGAAACATTTCTCAATATTCTCAGACAAATGTAAGGCATCTCTGTGCTTTGATTGACTTTGATATGTTTAATGCCAGTTAGTCTGTACCTGTAGAGAAAAGGTACAATAGCTATTCAAGACAATTGGTGGATTTTTGGCTCGTTCATTATTTTATCATGGGGATATGGCAGACTGGAAAACATCAGTTTATTTAGATTTGGTCATGGGTTCTGAAGAACTCTCTATTCAATGAAGTATCAAAGGAATTGGTGAAAGAGTGGATCTCACTAAACATTTTTAACATTTACTTTCATCCGGACACCTGGTATAAGGGTTTACAAGAGGTGGGAAATGATGAATAGCAGAGCTTTATAGCCATTGCTCACACAGACATGACAGTAGTTTAAACATTTATCTTCATTTCTAAAATGAGCTCATTGACGCTTTCTCCAGCTGTAATATTGTAATGTACTTATTATGAATATATATCTGCTAGATTTTGCCAATTACTATCATTAGACCCTTACCAGTTTCTAAGGGTTCCCCACTGCTATGGGGAATGCAAGAATGCCATTGCGGACATCTTATTATGGGCAATTGCCTGTGTCCTGATGAAGATGATGTTGCTATTTTACCCTTTCAGGATGCATTGAAAAAGCAAAGTAACCCAATTTGTTTTCCTGGACCAAAGGATTGACTCCTTATGTGCATATATGTTGACTGCCATTATATTCCTGGAGCTGGTAGGATGACTTTCTTATTGATAATTACACTTTTCATTACATACAGCATAATTACTATGTTCTGAGCTACATGGCTCTAGTGAAGCCTACTAGAAGTCCAAGTGCAGCAAACTAAAAGGATAAGTATTGGCTACAGTACAGTCTCTCCTTTCTCTCTGATTGTATGCCCATGTGAGGGTTGGCCAGGTGAACTCCCATGGACATGCCACATTCCAGCAGCACCCTTTAAGAGAGATTTCTACTGCAGTTTTCTAGACTTGCCAAACATCTGAGCGCCATCTGTTATTGTTGACATTGGCAAGTTAATATTCTTGAGTGTAAAATAATGCTTTAAGATAGTTAAGAAAATATCATCTCTGTTTCACACATTAAATGAGCTATCTTCTCATTTGTTGTAAGGGCATCAGGACATCACAAATTAAAACCTCAGGTGTATATACCCTTGTACCTATGTAATATAAAGCAGGGGTGATGCATTGAGTTCTGGTGTGGGTCAAAATAATACCCAAGTGCTGGTATTGATCATATGGAAATAGAAACTGTTTCTCAATTTCCAAACAGATTGGACCTCTGAGTTCTCTACCAAGTTATTTATATTTTTAAAAATGTTAGTGCTGCATTTATTTGAAACCCATAATAAATAGTGATTGTTTCTAGTCTTCAAAGATTTGAAAAAAATTAAATAATGTTAACTTACACAATTTTATTTACCATATGTTTTATTTTTGAAGTTATGCTGTCGCTATAGCATTTTTTGAAAAATTTGAAGCATTAAAAATACCAAAAATATATACAATTTCACATCTTTCTAAACTATTTAAAAACCACTAAATGTACACAGACAACTTCATCTCAATGAAGTGTTTTGGGTGCAGTGACAGTGTACTTTTACCACTGCAATTTAAAACATTGCATTATTTTTTTATTTTTTTTTTAAGGCAATGTTTACCTTATAGGGTTAAACATACCTCTAGTGGCTCTCTTCCTGACAGTCTCGAGAGGTGCTTCCTATGTAACAACCAAGTGAAACTTGGTCATGTGATGTTCAACATCCATGAGAACTTCAAATGTCATCAAATGCAGCTCATAGGAAAGAATTCCGTTTAAAGGAACACTTTAGGGTCAGAAACACAAACATGTATTCCTGACCCTATAGTGTTAAAACCACTATCTAGCCCACCTCGTCCCCCATTTCCCTCCCTAAATATAATCTTACCTGTAGGAAAGCATTGGATTGGCTAAGATTGTCAATTCTGATGATCTCAGCCAAAGAGGCAGGCCGGGGCCAAACGTCACTGTCATGGGTTTGTGAGTCTATTGCTGTTATTCCCGGAATCCTCCACTAGTCCTAATTCCAGATGTGCTGAATATAGTAAAAGTATTCCCTTTGTGTAGAGTTTCCCCCAATATAATGGATGCAACCATTTGTATTGGGTAAAAGCAGCAATCTGAACTTTATTAGGACACACTCTGCTTCTTATGCAGTGCGGGATTTCTAATACAAAAATCACAGGGCTTTCCTTCCCACAAACCATTGTGTTTGAGAGATAATTGAGCTCCAATTAAGCTAATCCAATTATCTCTCACATAGGAAAAATTACATACAATTTTTCATATCACAAAAATACATAACAGCATCGGAACTCCACAAACACTTTTATTCCAGAATAGCCCCGATCTGAGCGCACAACATATCCAAAAAGCGCTCAGATCAGTTCGGTAAAACAAAAGTGAAGTTCGTGCATATATGAACTGGCTGCCTGGTAGAGGTGGTATTGTCAATTTCAAAAGGGTTTAATTTGATTGTATGGGAGGTCAGAGCTTACAACCTAAATTTCTCTTTGAAGCAGTGCTACTCTGTGAGGTGTGAGAAGTCACACATAATTGGCCTGGAAGTCTGGTTTCAGTATAAACTAACTCATTTGCCATGTGTCTTGGTGTCTGGGACATAACTGGGTCAAGACATAACTTAATTTCCTGCTAGACACATAGCACAATAGCTTTTACATAATACAATTAAGACAATAGCTTTCATCCAGCTCAACATTTTACATAATAACTCACCATTAACACAATGAACCTCTATATCCTATATATCATTTTAAAGTATGTGACCAGGAACATAGTCTGTGGGAAGGAGGCTAGCTGTTATGCCTCTCCAGCAGGCTGTGGCACAGGAGCTTCCGTGAAAGCCACCCTGGCCAATCAGCATCTCCTTATAGAGATGCATTGAATCAGTGCATTTCTATGAGAAAAGTTCAGTGTCTCCATGCAGAGGGTGGAGCCACTAAATGTTAGTGTTGCACACTGCCCCAGGAAGAACCTCTAGTAGCCATCTGAGGAGTGGCCACTGGAGGTGTCCCTAAGCAGCAATGTAAAGTACCGCAAAAAGCCTACAGGGACTGACAATACTGACCAGAACAACTACAGTAAGCTGTAGTTGTTCTGGTGACTATATTGTCCTTTTGACACTTTCCTATGAGAGGCATTTGACTGGATTTGCATCACGAGCACTTGACATCATGGTAGGTGGAGAGAGCAGCACGATGGAAAAAAAGGTAAGAAACGGTAAGTAAAACTTTAAAAAATATTTTTATTGCAGTCTAATCTGAATACAGATTAGGGCACTATAGCATTAGAAACACAAGTGTTTATTCCTAACGCTATAATATTCTTTTATAATTACCTGTATCAAGTAAAAAGCATAAGGATTCCATCACATATCCCTTGGTCACACAATGTTAAACACATTATTTTGTCAAAATATCCCAGCATTGGTGTATCCCAATATGGGATATTAGTATGTCCCAGGCTGCATTACTTACCTGCATTATTGTTCTCTTTCTGTTACAAACATCTCTCCTACAATTTATATGACTGGACACTTGTAATGGGTGATAAGGTGCTTAACCCAAATAGCCTAGTCATGGCTCAAAATAGCCAAAGAAAAGGCAAATGTTAGGATTTACTACCCAGAACATTTCATTATTGAATACCACTGCTATTGAAACAACCTCAGTCCTAATAAATAAGCATGAAAACAGAAATGCAATTTATCTCAAATAGTACTCAAGACAAAATGAATAAATTAAATTGGAAATTTATATTTGAAAATTATGCATTTTTTTGATAATGTTTTTAATGTCTGTATATGAACATAATGCCCAGTAACTAAGTACAGTCACCTGGTTAAACCCAGTTATTTTGGATAACACACATCATTATAATAGTGCTAGTAAGGCAAGTGTCTCTGCCAACACTAATAAGACCCAAGTGAAGAGTCACTCTGCCTCCTAAACACTGCCAATACAGAATGTACTCATTGGCTTATAGCGTCAGCTAGGCACTCTCAGCTAATAAGCACAGGCCTGCTTAGTTCAGTGGAGCCAACTAGATTTTCCTGCACAGAGAATCCAAAAGCAGCGGATGGAACTGTGGGCACCCAGCGGGTCCCAAGCAACATATAAACCTGTTCTAAAACAGTTTAGCAAATTACACTGGGAGATTGCCAGGGCACTCCTGGCTCCATAACTATGGCAACTGACTGTAGTGGTTATGGTGCTTAGAGAAAAAAATATGTAGGCTACTTTTATGACTGTATATTTCGATACAAACATGTTGAGCTGGTGAATACAAATTGGCTTGAGAGCTGTGGCCAGGGACTGTAGTGCTTTTAGTGCTTGAAGTATTTTTTATTTTATTTTTTATATATTCTTTATTTTTGGAGTGCAATGAAAACAAACATTGCGTAACATTGACATAGATTTAAGTTGCATTATGAATGGTTACAGGCTTCAAGTATAAACTCAGTATGTCATGAGTAGCTGCACACATTTTTTGGTTTAAAACGTAAAACAAGAATTAGTCGCAGCGCAAGCGTATACAGACATGCATTATATCCCTTGTTGAGATGGCCAACCGTTTAGCATCACTAAGATCGGGTCTAAGACATGGTTTGCTAGGAGCTTGCGTTGTTACAGGTTATTATAATAGGCTAGTGAAACCTTAGAAAGGTACAAACTGTTATTGCCACTGGGAGACCAGGCCCTGTTGCAGAGAGTAGTGGGGCGCTTTTCACAGAATAGAATACTTTAAAACAATTTAGCATGCTGTAGCTAACCGAGGCTCACCGGTCTAGCTGAGTTAAACTAAGGGCACAATATCCTGCAGGTGTAACTTTTCGCAGCCACATTATGATTTAATACTAATGGCACCAGGCCACCATTCCATCCTGTCAAGTGGCTAGTGGGAGTAAAACATTTAAGGACAGAGCTGCTACTTTGCAGTGGGAAGTTACATGGTCATCTCGGGGGCCTGTGGTCAGTTCATCATGGGTGCTGGATCTTGCCTGTGTAGTGCCCATAGTATGCAGGTGTAGTTCGGCGGGACACTCAGGCAGGACATCCATTTGAGTCTCTACTCGGGGGTGTCCTCCATGCGCCTCTCCAGCATGGGCGTAGGAACCAGGGAGGATGGGGGGACGCATCCCCCCCAGCAAATCATGCGGGGGGGACAGGTTATGGGGAAATCCCCCCCAGCCCCACCGCCCCCCCCATGCTGCAGCCGCCTGAGCACTCTGTAGAGAACCTCAGGCGGCTGCAGCTTTGCCCGGCGGTGCGTCCATGAGGGCGGACCGCACCGCCCGGGCGCAGCATGGGGAGAGGGGCTGACAGGAGGGAAGCGCTCAGCGCTCCCTCCTGTCACTCCCTCCCTGTAGCGTGGCCGAGCGCTCTATGGTATGGTCCGCGGGTACAGGGAGCATCTGTCTCCTGTACCCGGCCGGACTAACAGGAAGTGAACACTGAGTGTTCACTTCCTGTAAGTCTGGCCGGGTACAGGAAACAAAAGCTCCCTGTACCCGTGGACTATACTGGGCTCGGCCACGCTACAACTGAGGTGGGGGGTGAAAGAGTGACCGGAGGGCAGCGTGGTGTGAGGAGAAAGAGTGACAAGGAGGGCGGAGGGAGGGGGGAGAAAGAGGACAAGGGAGGGAAAGAGGACAAGGGGGGGGAGGGGGAGAGGAGTGACTAGGAGTGGGAGGGGGGAGAAAGAGGACAAGGAGGGAGGGGAGAAAGAGGACAAGGGGGAGATAGAGGACAAGGAGGAGGGGAAAGATGCAAGGAGGAGGGGGAGAAAGAGGACAAGGGAGGAGGGGGAGAGAGTGACAAGGGAGGGGGGGAGGAGGGGAGAGAAAGAGTGACAAGGAGGGGGGGAAAAGAGGACAAGGAGGGGGGGGAGGGAGAAAGAGTGAAGGGAGGGGGGAGAGTGACAAGGAGGGGGGAAAAGGACAAGGGAGGGGAAAAGAGTGACAAGGGGAGGGGAGAAAGTGACAAGGGAGGGAGGGAGGGGAGAAAGAGAGTGACAAGGGAGGGGAGAAAGATTGACATCCATCACACACACACACACAATCGTACAATCATGCAAACCTTAAACACACAGAAACACACAATGCATTCCTTACACACACTAAATGCACCCCGTACACACACTCAATGCACCCCTTACAGACGCACACACTGCATCCCGTACATACACAGAAACACACCTTGCAGCCCTTACACATACAAACACAGATTCACACAATGCATTCCTTACACACATATCAGGACATCCCCTACACACTCCACCCCCTGTGAACAAACTCATTGGTCGAACATGAAGGTGGACCCTGGGACCCAGACCTTGAGCTGTGTAAAGGGCCCCCAAAAAATGGAGCTGCTCTACACCAGACCAGTGGAGCCAGACTGCAGCTAGAGCCCATCATCATCCTCATCTGGTTGTAAGTAGGCAATCTAGCATATTATTCGTGGCACTAATCTCTAATTTACATGGAAAGGGGTTCTTATATAAATGGAAGGGGTAGAGACGGGTAGTAAAATGTATGGAATGCATTTCTGAAAGTGTCACTGAATGGCAGTTAGGAAATGTGGTCACCCTAAGTCAGGGGCAGTATTACACAATCTGTATATGTATAAAAAAATATAAAAAGTAATCTGCAAAGTACAAAATGTTTGTGTCATATGTCATGCTAAAAATTAAGCTAGGAATGTGCATATTTATTTTTTTTAAATAATTTTTAGAATAATGATACAGACATTTTATTTCTGACATTTGTGATGATTCTTTTTTCCTCTCTATATTCAAGGGACACTATAGTCACCAGAACCACAACAGCTAAACGTAGTAGTTCTGGTGTCTATAGCACGTCTTTGCAGGCTTTTTAATGTAAGCACTGCCATTTCGTAAAAAGGCAGTATTTACATTACTGCTGAGGAATACCTCTAGTGGACACTCAGGTGGCCACTAGAGGTGCTTCCTAGTCGAGACATGAATGCCGCCCTATGAAGTATCTGCGCATGTGCGGCAAAGCTGCGCATCCGCATCAGAGAGCAATGACGCTTCTGAATAGAAGTGTTTTATTGCTCCCTGCTCGCACCCTCCTGTTTCGTCATTTTGACGAAATAGGGGGCGCGGCATCAGGAGGATCCCGGCGCTGTATCCGGGTAAGTAAAATCCCTTCCCTGTAGTGACCCTTTAATGTTATTATTTAATCATTTATATAGCAACTGCAAATTCCGTAGCGCTGTACAATGGGATAAACAACTCCTAGTTTACGGAATAAGAATATACTCGGCGAGTAAAAATGCTATCCCCCCCAGATTTTTTTGGGTTCCTACTCCCATGGGGGGAACAGGGCCAGATCCACTCTGCTCCGGGCCTTCAGGTCAGGCATCGTTGGGCGGGATAGTGGGGCAGCGACCGTCCGCCCCACTCACCGCCGGAGTAGGCCCCATCTGGGGTTTCAAAGATTCCTCCTCCAGGGGACTGAAGCTCAAGGAGCCAGCCTCTCCCTGGATACAGTGCCTCCTTTGGGGCAAGGACCAGAGCTGTCGGTCAGCTTTCAGGCTGAAATTCGTAGGTTTATAGGCTTAAAGTAGAGGGATTTGCCGGAGTTGATCACCCTTGCGACCGACCAACTCGGCGGTCCGGCCCCGCCCGGAGTATTTTTTTTTTTAAATGGATACTAGCAATCCTCCCCCCCACCTGTAAAACCATATAAATTAAGAACAAACATATTTGAAATGCAGCGCCAGGCAAAGCTCTCTGCGCTGGTTTTCATGCAAACATCTACATCACTGCTTTTGTGCATGCTCTGAACCAGAGAGGAAAGGAAGGGAGTGAGGGTGGGATTTTTAAAAAGGCTATATACTAAACCTAAAAGGGGAGGCAAGGAAGGACCAGATGGACGGGACACTGAAGCTCCCGATTGCGGGTATGCTGCCTGCAAGGGAGAAGCTCATTACATATGTCACCAGTGCACAGTGCTCGTTGACAACAGATGTAATGTTCGTAAAGTTTGCATGTGCCATCGGTGCAACTAATCCCTGGCACAAAAGTGCAAATATCTCTGTATGTGCAAAGTTTCAAGCAGAAACACTGCACATACAGACTCTTCCCATCATGTCTATGTCTAAAAGCAGAAGTGGTCATGGTAGTTGGAGAAACCCTTAAAGTAATAGTCCCTACTGACTATATAACATTATTTCTACAGCCCAGATATCACCTCTGATGGACACACTGAAAGATTGCATTGTAGATATAATGACTTGTATAACAAATTGGAGTCAGTGTTGCTTTACTTGATAATTTTATAACAGAACAGAACCTGTCAAATGTGACATTGCCCTACACAACATAGTATTAAAATTACTTTGATAAACATTTTATCATCACAATAAAAATAGTTAATGGAAGAAAAGTATTAAAAAAAAAAAAAACAAAGCAAAGAAACGGTATTAAAGAAATAGAGAAACTTATAATAAGTAGTAAAAACTAATAACAGTCTCTGGAATATTCCGAATTTCTGTTGCATTTGAAAACTGAATCATACAGTAAGTTACAGTAAGTGTTGCATTTTTTTAAGAAGGTAACTTACACATGGATCTGGAGTAATCGAGTTTTCTTTAGTGTTTATTCATCCATATAAGGCCAACACGGTTATTTAAAGTGAGAATTCAAAATTAATTTCAAATTTAAAAGAACACTCCAAACACCATAAGCACTTACTCTTGCTGGAGTGTTAAATGTGTGAAACGTGTCCTCTTTCATTTTACAAAAAGTGCAAATTTCCCTGACTGTCAGACAACCATTCCTGTTACATCCGGATTGTTTTGCTCAATGGGCAATAGCGCACAGCACCTGCTTTGCAAAGTCTTCTCATAAAGCTGCATTGGGAAGTCTGTGATTGGACAGCCACAGAAAGAATTAGCTGGTGAAGAAGAGGAGGGCCTGCAAAGGTTATAGTCATCAGATTTGCAGCTTTTGAAAGCTGTTTTTAGCTCTACCCCAATGAAAAAAATGCAGCAATAAATGCATACATACATACTAAAAGTTGTATATTAATATATACTAGAAAGGTATATATAATACTATATTATAAGATCAAAATAGCCAAACTGGAAACATTTTCCAAATCAGTTTGGCCTTCAATGAAATTTAGTTTGAATTCCTACTTTAGGAAATAACATTGCCTGTATATAATAGCATCTAGTGACACACTTCATATTCAACAGGCTTCATCATTTTAACTCACATGTCACCTAATATCTTATAATTTGTTCCTGATTTGGCTATGGCTAGCTTAGTTTCAGCTGGTTTTATTGATTGGAAGATTGATGCTATACTCCGGTAGAATTTTAGAGAAGTAGCTTTGGTACTAACTTTGCTGGTTACAGTGCGGCTTATTAACAAATGAACTGCCGGAATGAGAGGACAGTCTTTTCTTTCCAGAGTTTGAACAGAGATGGGTTCTCCCTCTCCTTTATTGTACCATTAAGCCTTAATGCCTAAACTCATTATATTTGGACATATCTCTAAAAATATTTTGAGTTCTTGCATTTTTTTTTCCGAACTCATTTATTTTGGGCATCAAATAATAAATATATCAGAAAATTAATGCAGACCTACAACAAAATTGGAAAGAGAATGTGGCCTTTTCAATGAGCAGGGCTTTTTCACCACCCAATAAATTAAATGCTTGGTCCTAGATGCTCTTCGACTGATGCAAACTGACCACTGTAGTATGTTTTCCAAACACTGGGAGGCTGACATGTTTTTCATTGTATTTGACTGAAACGTTCTGAATGACTGATCACTAAAACAGAGCTGACTTGTCCCATAAGTGCAGTTTGTGAGAGTACCCTCACCCTAATGTATTGCAGCCAACCATTTCAATAAATTGTCGATCCACATTCAGTCATGCCTGTAATTGTCTCTCCTGACCTCTGATCTAAGCATGTGCATACACTGCAAAGTAAACACCTCCATGCTGCCATAACATGCTGATTAATTGGATTTCCCCACAACCAGGGGGCTATTAGAGAAGATAACATGGAAAACGGCCATCTGCTGCTCAAAGACATAAACATATACTTACACACATTCACTCACCCATTCATAAACAACTGCACAGAAATAGTAAAGTGGGACTTCTGGGCACGGTCCACCTACATTAACCCACAAACTGCCATGAAATTATTTACATTTCCTACTAGTAATTCCTTCCCATATTATAATTCAAACAGGAAGAACCCTGTCAATTCCTGCGGCACCTCGCAATAGGCAAACAAAAAAAAAACCTCAAAATTGCTCAGATAACAGTAATTGCACCACATTCGCCACAGTGGTAGACTGGCAGCCATGTATCCAGTTCACTGCTGCCCTGTGGAAGCGACAGGCCCACTCGGCATGAGAGACTTTCTCCCCTTTCTTTGAGTCCCGTAATTGGCAGCAGTATGCTGGGGTAACAGCATACCATGCCAGTGATGTTTCTTTCACTCTGTCATACTTCATTATATCTTTGTCCATAATGGTGCGTATGCCTCTGCTGCCAACCCCAATAACTGCCAAAATAGAGACCCATCATGTGGGTCAATTTCGTGAAGGGTATAATGCCTCTCAAAGTCACACAGACCCGTTGAGGTCTGTCTCCAGGAAGGGTTTAAAGGCAGCAAATTGCATCTTGCTTTTTCCCCTATTCGAAGATCCATTTGAAGATGCCTTACTCCCTCGAAGTTCTTGAATCTCGGGCAGCCATAATCTAATGCTCATGAGCCACTTGTTGTGAGGCATTCACAATCTTTACTACATCCAATCATTGAATTCAGACCATAGAATGCAAGCTGGTTTCGCATTTCCTGCTGAAAATTGGTCTCATTAGAGAAGGAGCTGGTGGACGGGTTTCTGCCCCAGTCACCCTCCACAAGTGCTGCAATCAATGCGGTTTTAGGTTTATTGTTGGCAATTTGACCTCTTGCTTCCAGCAGTTCCTTCAGCGTGCTCCTCTTTAGTTTCTCATTACACCACTCCATCAACTCTGCATCTTCTGCTGAGGATGACCAACCATAGTTTTTCCTCCAAGGGTATCCCCAGAGCGAGAGAAGAGATCTCGTTGCTGTTACTTGATGTAATGGCCTGAGCACTCCGTTTGAGTTTCTCCAAAAGGGTCCCACTCTTTAAGCGCTGGATACTTAACGTGATTATAGCTGTCTCACCCAAACACTAGTCGAGACTTTGTGAAGGGTGAATAAAAACTGTTTTATTAAGAACACGGCACATTTATTTTTATTTTTTTTACACACGACCACAACAGCGAGACCATGGTTTGAACAATGAAAATCCCATCCTGCCGCCTCTGTGTCTGGGAGATAGATCTGTAAATGCCAAGTTAATTATCCCCCAGATATCAGGATGCCATTACAGTATACCTCAAAAACACTTATAAAGCATAATTAAGCAACACAGGTCTTTTCCCGGATAGCTTTCCCCCTCTTGCACTCACGGTGTTCAATTGACACCCGGTTATCTGATAGAGAGTTCCACACAGCCATTCAGAGTGACCTCTAGGAGGCTCACGGCTTTCCCTGTGAGGCTAGTCACCAGGTGGTTTTGGAGTGTGGGCGCTCTTCTGGACTGTGCAGGGTGATTGGTAGTGTAAGAAAAGTGAGGGGAAAAAAATTTCTCTTCATAGTGGCAGTACTGCAGTTCTGTCACTGCACCCACGCAAATTAAGTCCCCATATTCACCCTGCCACCAGACCCAGCGCTACCATTGCCTGCTAAAATTGGGCATACTTTGCAATTACCAAAAAGCACCAATAGGGTGGAGGGGGGGGCGGGTAAAGAAAGACACATCTAAAAAAAAATGATTTTTTTTCCTGTGTAGCCAAGAATCCTTGCAATGGCCCTGCCTGCCATACTCAGCCCCCAATCACAGTCACCCCAACACTAACCTTGCCTCACTTACTCACACTGTCACTTTGCAACCATTATAGTCAGTCCTAATGCGCACACAGTTACCCTCATACACAGGCACTATATACACATCGAATGCATCAATATCACAAGCAGCACCCATACACACAACACACTGTAAGCAGCATTTGTGAGATTAGAATAAAGACATCATGAACACAATTATATGGGGGTGGACAGGGAGAGAATTAGGCACAGTACGTCATGGAACTGTATTAGCTACAGTGAGGTAAAAAAAAAAAAAAATATTGGATCCCTTGCTGATTTTGAATGTTTGCCCACTGACAAAGAAATGATTAGTCTATAATTTTAATGGTAGGTGTATTTTAACAGTGAGAGACAGAATAACAAAACAAAAAAAAAACGCATGTCAAAAAAGTTATAAAATGATTTGCATGTCAATGAGTGAAATAAGTATTTGATTCCCTATCAATCAGCAAGATTTCTGGCTCCCAGGTGTCTTTTATACAGAGTGTTCCCTGTATAAAAGACACCTGGGGGCCAGAAATCTTGCTGATTGATAGGGAATCAAATACTTATAAGGGAGTGCTTCTACTCTCACCTTGTAACCTGTATAAAAGACACCTGTCCACAGAAGCAATCAATCCAATTCCAAACTCTCCACCATGGCCAAGATCAAAGAGCTGTCCAAAGATGTCAGGGACAAGATTGTAGACCAGCAGTTGGTGCAATTATTCGCAAATGGAAGAAACACAAAATAACGGTCAGTCACCCTTGGTCTGGGTGCTCCAAGATCTCATTTCGTGGAGTTTCAATGATCATGAGAACGGTGAAGGAATCAGCCCAGAACTACACGGGAGTATCTTATTAATGATCTCAAGGCAGGTGGGACCATAGTCACCAAGAAAACAATTGGTAACACACTACGCCGTGAAGGACTGAAATTCTGCAGCGCCTGCAAGGTCCCCCTGCACAAGAAAGCACATGTAAAGGCCCATCTGAAGTTTGCCAACGAACATCTGAATGATTCAGAGGAGAACTGGGTGAAAGTGTTGTGGTCAGATGAGACCAAAAATTGAGCTCTTTGGTATTGTCAGGTTATACCTGTCGGTTACGCCATTTCCCAGGCACTTCCGGGTAGACGGAGCACAGCCACGCCCCCTTCTCTGACGCGGTCTCCTCACGCTACATAGGGAGACCGCGCCAGATTCAAAATGCTGGATTATTGTGAGGCTTTCCCCCGTGATCCTCAGACCGGCTACAAATTATTACAACTACTGTTACATGTACCGAACCCTGGACGGAAATTCGTTGACCTACCTTCTCCTCTCCTCGACCTCGGATTGAAATAAGGACCTCTGCTTCTGCTCCAAAAGAAATATTCAATATCTGGATGCAACACTTAATAAGAGCTTCAGAACCTACTCCAATTGAACGCTAAGTATTTTACTTCAAGTTCGTTTTGGTCTCTGCATGCTTATGCACTTGCAATTGCCACTCTGTTGCTAAGTGAAAGCTACATTTTCTATCTGATGCAATTAAGTTTCACTCTGAATAACTTCAACCTATACTTGGACTAATTCTTATTTAGTACTGCTTCACTGTTGCAAATCTACTGCTGCTTGTTCCGCTTTCAACAACTAACAACCTTGCTAAGTTTTAAAGCTACAGTAACAGCTTTTTAATTTCAGTTAAATAAAATAAAAAATAATTCAACGTCCTTCTGCAGTTGTGTTCCATCTATTATTTGAAGTAGCATAACAGGCATCAACTCAACTCACCGTGTTTGGAAGAGGAGGAGTGCTGACTATGACCCCAAGAACACCATCCCCACCGTCAAACATGGAAGTGGAAACATTATGCTTTAGGGGTGTTTTTCTGCTAAAGGGACAGAACAACTGCCCTGCATCAATGGGACGATGGACAGGGCCAAGTACGGTCTAATCTTGGGTGAGAACCTCCTTCCCTCAGCCAGGGCATTGAAAATGGGTTGTGGATGGGTATTCCAGCATGACAATGACCCAAAACACACAGCCAAGGCAACAAAGGAGTGGCTCAAGAAGAAGCACATTAAGGCCCTGGAGTGGCCTAGTCAGTCTCCAGACCTTAAAGGATCACTACAGGGTCAGGAACACGCGGGTCAGGAACACAAGCGTGTTCCTGACCCTATAGTGTTAACACCACCATTTAGCCCCCCTGGGCCCCTCATGCCTCCATAAATATAGTAAAAATCTTACTGTATTCAAGCCTGAAGCTGTAAATCTGCATGCTGTTAAACTCAGAAAAACAAGCAGTCTGCTGACATGTGGTAGCCTGATCCAATCACAGTGCTTCCCCATAGGATTGGCTGAGATTGACAAAGAGGCAGATCAGGGGCAGAGCCAGCATGATTTAAACACAGCCCTGGCCAATCAGCATCTCCTCATAGAGATGAATTGAATCAATGAATCTCTATGAGGAAAGTTCAGTGTCTGCATGCAGAGGGAGGAGATACTGAATCACAGGATGCTGTGCACAGTGCTGCTTTGTGCTCTGCTGACAGCAGATCTGAGTGGATGGAGGCATATTATGCCTCCATCAACTCCGAAGTCCCTCTGATTCACTCTGAGTGACTGCAACTGGAGGTGTTCCTAGCTTTCAATGGAAACACTGTATTTTCTCAGAAAATACAGTGTTTACATGAGAGGCTGCAGGGAGCTGTAGTTCTCACCTCAACAACCTCGTTAAGCTGAAGTTGTTCAAGTGACTATAGTGTCCCTTTAATCCCATAGAAAATCTGTGGAGGGAGCTAAAGGTTTCAGTTGCCAAATGTCAGCCTTGAAACCTTAAAGGACGACTATAGTGCCAGGAAAACATACTTGTTTTCCTGGCTCTATAGGGTCCTTGGGTCCCCCTTACCCTAAGGGCCCCCCTCCTAGGCTCTAGAGTGAGGAAGGGGTTAATCCCTTACCTTTTTTCGGTGCTGGGGACTCTCCTCCTCCTTTCCCCGTCATCGGCTGAATACGCATGCACGACACGAGCCACACGCGCATTCAGCCAGTCCATAGGAAAGCATTTCTCAATGCTTTCCTATGGATGCTGGCGTCTTCTCACTGTGAAAATCACAGTGAGAAGCGCAGCAGCGCCTCTAGCGGCTGTCAATGAGACAGCCACTAGAGGCTGGATTAACCCATTTGTAAACATAGCAGTTTCTCTGAAACTGCTATGTTTACAGCAGAAAGGGTTAATCATAGATGGACCTGGCACCCAGACTACTTCATTAAGCTGAATTAATGACTTGGAGAGGAGTGGGACAAAATACCTCCTGAGATGTGTGAAAACCTGGTGGCCAACAACAAGAACATGTCTGATCCCTGTGATTGCCAACAAGGGTTTTGCCACCAAGTACGAAGGTCAAATACTTATTTCACTCATTGACATGCAAATCAATATATAACTTTTTTGACATGCGTTTTTCTGGATTTTTTTTATTCTGTCTCTCACTTTTAAAATACAACTACCATTAAAATTATAGACAGATCATTTTTCTGTCAGTGGGCAAACGTTCAAAATCAGCACGGGGTCAAATACTCTTTTTCCCTCACTGTACATAAAAAAAGGTACCACTGGACAGGTAGAGTTAATTATGACTGAGGCTCAATTAGAGTCCATAAGTTATAAGAGTGTAAATAAGAGGCCTACTTAAGCATAGCCCTGTGCATAATTAACTGAAAACACTAAAATAAGCTGAAAGAATACACATGGCTATGATCTGCCTTGTAATTCTAAGTCCCCTGAGCCAATGCCTGTGAATGGAAGGCATGCTCCCCATAAGAGTTCATTGAAGCACAAAGCTTCGCGCCTCCGTGAGTCAGGCAGCATCCAGCTTCAGGGACAGGGCTCCATAATTGCCTCAATGCACTCCCCAAGCCTGTCTGAGCAGGAATCCCTTGACAGCGCCAGTTGCACTTAGTGATATGGCCCCCTCCAATATGCCTAGCAGGTGTACAGCATTGGGGCTTAGGGGCAGGTTGTCTGAGATCTTGGCAGCTTCAGTTCCTGACTTCTGCTCTTCGACACTCGTGAGGTGCTCAGGGGTTGCTGTGGAAACTGTGCGGGAGTCTGGCTGCCCAGGGAAACAGTAAGGGTCTGCGTGCGTCGTCATGCCATTGAAGTTTGGAGGGCGAAATGGGCTGATGTATGTGAGTTGCTGGTGTTGGTGCATTCAAGGTATGTGAGTTGGTCAGCAAAACACACCTGTTGCCTAGCCTCTATTTTCGCCCAGAATTTGGTAAAGATGCAATCCAGCTTACTCAGAGTCATTGTAATGTAGGCCTTGGTTGACCCTCCGGCTATGAATGCCACCATCTTAGGAGCCACGATGCAGCACCACATACAGCAGCTCTAGGAGCTAAGGAGAAGCAGGGGTGGGGTAAGTGCAGTCCGCTGTGAGTAACAAGATGTGGCATCTGGAGAGTGGCTGTCCCTCCGACGCCAGGCAGGCTTGCGGGCTGCAAGAAGTTGAGGGCATGTGTTCTGGGTCAGGACAATGCCAAATCTGGTACCATACAAGTCCCACGGGTCCCCACTGTGCATCTAATCTGATTTTGTGTTGATAAAGGCGAGATGGCATGCAGAAAAAATAAAAAGCTTACCGTAATTAGCTGGCTTTGGTCAGGAGCTGGCCTTGCAGGTGTCCGCTCTGCCTGACGGTCAGGCCCCGCGCCCCTATATATTGGGATTTTAATAGCCCTATGGGGTGAATAAATTATATTGATTTAATATTTTGTCTGTTCCTATTATGGAAATTATATATATATATATATATATATATATATATATATAAAATTATAATAAAAAATTGTGGTCTGAATCTTTTCTAAATAATATATATATTATTTAGAAAAGATTCAGACCACAATTTTTTTTATGTTGCAGTCTTATGCTACAATTGTTTAAATCTATATTTAATAACCCATAATAAGAAAGCAGAAAACTGATTTACAACTTAGCAAATTTAATAAAAAGGAAAAAATGTAATATCACAATGTCAAACTGATCCTTTGCCATTACACTTGAAATATGACACTTGTAGCCCAAATTAACAAGTGCTATGACACTTATTGCTGTGGTCTACAAATGGGGCTTCAACTAACTAATCGTATGCATAAAACACTGTGTCTATCTTTACTATACTAGCATAGAGCCAGATATAATGCTGTATCCTTAAATCACCCCAGAGAGAACATAGTGTTCGCACACAGCCCCTTGTGCGTGGTTAGTTCCCATCAGCCTGAATTGTAAGATTGTGCTCATCCAATCTGAGTGTTTTGCTTTTGAAACATTAACATGTGCTTCAACTTTTTTTTTATGCTTTATTTATAAATGGCATTAGCATTGAAAACAATTACAGTCAAATAAAGAATGATGAAAACAATTAAAATGCCAATTTTCATTCACAAAAAGATCAAACATTAACATAAGAAGAATCGTTCATGGTTATTCACCAACGTGAGAATTAAATGCAAATTCAAAGTGAATTACAAAATTCAAGGAACACTGTGGGCATCAAAACAAATTCATCTATTAAGTTGTTATGGTGCCAGGAAGACCCTGGGTGTATTCTTACTTTCAAGGGTTAAAGGAACACTATAGTCACTTAAATTACTTTAGCTAAATAAAGCAGTTTTAGTGTATAGATCATTCCCCTGCAATTTCACTGCTCAATTCACTGTCATTTAGGAGTTAAATCACTTTGTTTCTGTTTATGCAGCCCTAGCCACACCTCCCCCGGCTATGACTGACAGAGCCTGCATGAAAAAAAAACTGGTTTCCCTTTCAAACAGATGTAATTTACCTTAAATAATTGTATCTCAATCTCTAAATTGAACGTTAATCACATACAGGAGGCTCTTGCAGGGTCTAGCAAGCTATTAACATACCAGGGCTCTCTAAATAGGGCTCTCTTTACAGGGAGTGTTTATGGAAGGCTGTGCAAGTCACATGCAGGAAGGTGTGACTAGGGTTCAGAAACAAAGGGTTTTAACTCCTAAATGGCAGAGGATTGAGCTGTGAGGCTGCAGGGGCATGTTCTATACCAGTGATGGCAAACCTTTTTGAGCCCGAGTGCCCAAACAGCAATACATGCCAACTTTTTTTTCTCTCAAAGTGCCAACACGGCAATTAAACCTGAATACTGAGGTTTAAGTTTAGAAAAAACAACTCGTACAGTTGTCCGAACTAATTAACAACCTTTGTTTTAAAAGAACTGAACTGCTGAATACATACACACAGTCTGCTGAATACACACACACACACACAGTCTGCTAAATAAACACACACACACACAGTCCGCTGAATACATACACACAGACTGCTAAATACATACACAAACACAGTCCGCTGAATACACACACACACACAGTCCGCTGAATACACACACACACAGACTGCTGAATACACACACACACACACACATACTGCATTGAGGGGTGCAGTGTATGTGTTTGTGTGTGGGGTGATGTGTGTGTGGGGGGTGCTGTGTGTCTGAGGGTTGCTGTGTGTGTGTGTGTGAGGGGTGTTGTGCTGTGTGGGGAGGTAGGGGTGCTGTGCTGTGTGGGGGTAGGGGTGCTGGGCGGGAGTAAGGGTGCTGTGCTGTGGGGGGTATGGGTGCTGTGTGTGTGTTGTGGGGGTACGGGTGCTGTGTGTGCTGTGGGGGTAGGGGTGCTGTGTGTGTTGGGGGTAGGGGTTGCTGTGTGTGGGGGTAGGTGCTGTGGGGGTAGGGTGGGTAGGGGTAGAGGTGCTGTGTGTGTGGTGGGGGTAGAGGTGCTGTATGTGGTGGGAGTAGGGTGCTGCTGTGTGTGTGTGGGGGTAGGGGTGCTGGGTGTGGGGGAGGCTGTGGGTGCGGGGAGGCAGGTGGGGTACTGTGTGGGGAGGTAGGGGTGCTCTGTGGGGGTAGGGGTACTGTGTGGGGGGGGTGCTGTGTGGCTGGTAGGGGTGCTTTGTGGGGGTGGGATACTGTGTGTGTGTGGGGGGTGTTGTGTGGTGGATTAGGGGTACTGTGTGAGGGGTGGTATGAGGGAGGGGTACTGTGTGTGTGGGGAAGGGGTACTGTGTGTGGGGGTGCTGTGGGGTGTGGGGGTTAGGGGTACTGGGGTGGGGTGTGTGTGGTAGGGGTACTGTGTGTGGGGTTAGGGGTGCTTTGGGGGGGGGCACTGTGTGTAGGGGAGGGTACTGTGTGTGTGGGGGTAGGGGTAATGTGTGGGGTAGGGTACTGCTGTGTGGGGGTAGGGAGGGGTGAGGGTTAGGATACTGTGTGGGGAGGGTACTGGTGCGTGGGAGGTAGGGGTGTTTTGTGGGGAGGTAGGGATACTGTGTGTGTGGGGGCGCTGTGTGAGGGTTAGAGGTATTGTGTGGGGGTTAGGGGTGCTGTGTGGGGTACTGTGTAGGGGTACTTTGTGGGGGTAGGGGTACTGTGGGGGGGGTACGTGTTTAAAAAAAAAAAAAGTATGCTACATTACTATCCCCCCTACCTTCTTTAATGAAGGAGGGGGGGGAGAGGCACAGCCAACCATGGACGTCCGGTGGTGGTAAGTTCTGTAGGGAGAAGCTCCCCTGTCCTCCTGCATGATGCTGTGTGGAGCGTTGCCATGGTAACGTGCGGCAACGCTCCACACATCTTGCTCGCGGGAGGACAGGAGAGCTGCTCCACAGATCGTTCCCCCTGTCTCCTGACACGGAAGCAGAGTAGGCGTCTGCCGTTTCGGGCAGGCAGGTGCCTACTCTGCATTGATGGGGAACCTATGGCCACATGCCGACAGAGAGGGCATGGCGTGCCACGCGTGCCATAGGTTCGCCATCACTGTTCTATACACCAAAACTGATTCATTAAGCTAAAGTTGTTCAGGTGACTATAGTGTCCCTTTAAACTGTTTTCGAACGGGTTAACCGCAAAATTGCTGATCTCAGCTCCCCCTGGCGGCATCCGACTTCTGAAATTTTAGATACAGGAAACGTGGACTGCCGACGGGCGAGGGCACCACTGATTGGCTGAGAGCGGTCAGCTAGTGATTATTCACCAACCACAATAACTCAGAGGTTGAAAATATGTCTAACTCTGTATATCAGTGATATAGCTCACTTCTTTACTAACATTTGGATTAGTAAGCTTCGTCTACAACAGCGGTTTCCAAACTGTGTGCCGCACACAGGTGAGCCGCAAGATATTTTCCCGGTGCTATCATCATACTGTGCTCTCCCCTGCTGGCTCTGCAGGACCGGAGGGGGGTCAGAGATCTCCCTCTCCGGCCTGCTCGCAGTGCAATGCTGGCAGAGAAGCGAAGGAGAGAGGACCTGGGGGAGCTCTAACCTGCAGCTCTGCCGGGTTCTCTTCTCGCTGTTACCATGGAAATGCTCCAAAACTCGCGAGAGTGAACTCTAGCAGCTCCTGAGGCTGCTAGAGTTCACTCTCACCACTGGGACCACCAAGCCACCAGGGATTGCAGGAAATGTTCCCACTCCCATGCAAAGGTAATTATTTATTTAAATTAAAAAAAAGTTTACTAATTAAAATAAAAAATATAATTATATGCCCTAATATCTCCCACAGTTACCCCCCATACACACACACACATATTACATTACCCCCTACACACTGCCCCCCCATACACACACACACACTACCCCCCATACAAACACACACACACACACTAACCCCCATAAACACACACACACTAACCCCCCATAAACACACACACACACACTAACCCCCATACACACATACTGTACCCCTCACACAACCTGCCCCCACACACTGTACCCCTCACACACACACACACACACTACATTCTTCACACACACACACACTACATCCTTCACAAACACACACTACATCCTTCACACACCCGTACACTCACTGCACACCACACACACATATGTGCACACTACTGCCCCTATCCCCTACTACAACCCCTATCCTGGCAGATCCCGGGTAAGTTGTCAAACTGTTCTTAAACAGTTAGAATACTTACTCTGTGAGGGCACTACTGGCACCATAACCACTACAAAGTGCTGTAGTGGTTATTGTGTCTGGATTGTTTCTTTAAATAATCTACTAATGCCCCTCCCAAGATTAGGTTCTGGATCTGCACTTGAATGGCATATGCCGCTGCGCTGTACATATAAACAACCTAGGAAATTATTTTAACTTTGGGCGCCTTGGAAAAATATTGAAATATTAAGGGCGCCTTGAACCTAAACAGTTCGGGAACCAATGGTCTACAAGATTAAATGAGAGACAAAACTTTATGAAGTCACTCCCAACCAGCTCAAATATATACAGGGACCTACAAACATCAATGCACAGATAAAGCTGCATGAATAATTAAAGGTAGATTAAGCAATTGCAGACTAATACGTTTTGATATACAAATACCGGGTTTTAGCCAGACACCTAGATTTATGGAATGTGGCATTGTGCCCACATGTAGTCATAATACTTACATTCTGCTGTCCTTTTGGGAATCTGTATTCCCTAAAATACTAGGAGTTTCCTAAAAAATACCCTCAAGCAGGATACTGGAGGATTTTAATTTTTTATTTAAAATTTGTGCTACGTCTAGCACATGCTAATATTTATTATTTTACTCATCTTTATCTGAACCTTATTATTTTTTAATTGGGTACCAAACAAAAAATCCCCAAGAAGGAGACTGTTTTCTGGTTTGTTTGAAACAGCTTCCAAGTTTGAGATATATTCTGTGCCCTGAGATTGTCCAGCTCCAAGATCCCACCCAAAAAATGCCAACTAGTTAACCCCTTTACATAAGGGTGTCACTGTCTACCACTCTCCTTCTCCCAGCTTCCTTTTGTTAACCTAAGTGTGCTTAAATCTGTACTGCATGGGTTTATTTTCCAGAACAAAATCATAAAATGTTAGTGCTGTATTTTCTATTTATTATACTCTGACCATTTAATGAACAGTAGCGAAATAAGATCCTCCCATTTTGAAGTTTCAATTTACTCTGTATTACAATCCCATGTTCATAAAGCGTACCTCTTAACTAAACAAGAATTCTGCACACAGTGAGGACTGCCACTCCCATCACTGTCAGCCAGGATTCACCTATAGTCGAGAACACCTAGAGTGGATGGCTTCCTAATCATTACCATTTGGTGTAAAAAAAAGTATTCTTTTACATTGCAAAATATGCACAAGTGTAAAGGGAATATTTAGGCACCATAACCACTTTTTAAACTATAAAGCCATTTACCGAGCCAGTCAGAAGTTCCATTCAGCCATTGAATAGTTTCAAAATATGAATTAAATGTATACTGCTAATGTGGAAATAAAACCCCAATAGTAGCAAAAGCCAATGGGGGGCAAAACCCACAGTTTAATGGTATTGTTTTTTTTTAATGGTGATGTTACAAACAACAACTTTGTTTACCCAGCAGATATGCTGGTAGAAGCACACTGCAGCAATGCATCTATGTATTCACAGAAATTGGAAGATAAAGAAACGTGTCAAGCAAACCTATAACTACCTTTCTTGGTTTCATGGATTAACTTCAGATTCAAATTAGAAGCACAGTTTATAAACATTCAACAAACAGGGGTGACGTTTCAAGGCCACGGTAAGTAGCTGCATGTCTTAAGGGCTCTGTTAGCGTCTCCTGCAATTAAAATAAAAAAAATTCCTGGACTCACAGAGACCCAGTAAAATAAATAAAAAAAATTATTATTAAATTTGGCAGAAATTGATGATGAGATGGGCAAGCAAAAAGAATGATCCATATTGAACAGCACATGATATATCATTATGGGGGTAAAGTTCAGATGGAGCCCAGTAAAACAGTCAGTGAAAATGCAAATAGGAAAACTGAAATTGGAAGGTTTGCAACTTGACTTATAACTTTTTTTTTTTTTTTTAAAAAGGTCTTACTTGTGGGGCAGTAGTAGAACACAAATAGGGGTTCGTTACAGTAGTAGGACACACATAGACAGTGAAATTCCACATGAAAATAAAACATTAGAATAAAAGAAAAATGAAATATAACAAACTTGACAGATGATGGTGGTAAATGAAGATCATAATGCTATTAGTTGAATACCCTCCCTGAGGGAGTCTAATTTCTATTAATATACTTTTGTGAAGGGAGTTTGGATTATGTGACTGCTATTACAATTATTTCCCCAACAGTCCCAATTTTAATGCTTTCCTATGGACGTTCTGCACGCTGGATGGGAATTTCGCATCCAGCGTCGCAGAAGCGCCTCTAGCGGCTGGATTAACCCTGAAACTGCTATGTTTACATCTGAAGGGTTAAAACCTGGGGGACCTGGCACCCAGACCACTTAATTGAGCTGAAGTGGTCTGGGTGACTATAGTGGTCCTTTAAAGTTGTTAACCTTTTTTCATAACTAAAATCTAAAATATTCCTTTTTTTTTTTTTTTTTTTAAGGAACACTATAGGGTCAGGAACACAAACATGTATTCCTGATCCTATATAGTGTTAAAACCACTGTAACGGCACCCCCAGGCATAAAAGGGGTTAAAAGCCGTTTAGGAGATATTCACCTTCCAGATATACAGGCAGCTACCAAAGACACCAATCCGCCGAACAGGAAACCATGTGAATGCCGTAAACAGCCGTATAGGAAAAACCATACGAATAGGTTTACACTCCTAGCAGTCGAACTGGAACAGCATATAATAAATCCCCCCAAGAACGAGACAAGGCTCTGTTTTGAGGGTCAAGCAGGAACAGACAGAGCTGTGGGTTTATTGTTCTTATATACACATTCTTACACATTAGTACCACCCACAGGGTTTTGGAAAACAACCAATAAACATGTACAATACACTCAGACACTCCCACACAAAATCCCCCCTCTGCCTGTGATACAATTACCTTACACCTTACACAGGCAGAGAAATACAGTTTTTCCACATAATTCATAATTTTAAAAGTATGCATCACATTCACATAAAACTTACATTTTCGGAATCAGCATACTCCAAATACAAACATACGCCAAAATCATACAAATTGGTCCAGTGGTTCAAACAATAGATCGTAGTCCTTTGTGACTAAATGAAGCATGGCTTTTCTGCCCAAAACCAGTTCCACAGAGTCTTCTATCCTGGAGATAATTGGGAAGTAATCCAATTATCTCCAAGGACAGAGGCAAAACTCAATTGAACACATGGCAGCAAAAGACAATAAAATACATAAAAATATATAACTGTGCAGCCATTGCATAAAACAGGTACATTCAACATATCCCTCAGATCTGAGCGCACATCATTACTGAATGGCGCTCAGATCACACACATACAGTTCAATTGCCATGGGGCCAAAGTCTTTCCCATAGTCTTTCATTATACGAATGGGCTCCATGGCATAGCTATCTGGGGTATCACCGCTCAAACAGGGCAAGCACCGAATGACCCGGCTTTCGTCTTTTTGCAGGGGAAAATCAAGCGTTTCAACATGGGGCCATAGTCTAAAGGCAGCAACCAGGCTTCTCCAATGCACAGTGGCGAGATTGGTCTTGTCACAACCACCATCTAACCCCACAGTGGCGTACACACAATCCATGGGGCCCCGGTGCGAAACTGATCCGTGGGTCCCCCCCTCCCTCCCCTCATCCGTGCCCCCCCTATTCTCCTGACACACACATAAACATACACCTAATGTCCCCCCCCCGGCCCCCACCCCTGAGCGGTGGGTGGGGGCCCTAAATACTAATAAGGGGGGCGACACCTAATGTCTTCTCCCCTAGCCCCCCAACCCTGAGCGGTGGGTGGGGGCCCTAAATACTAATAAGGGGGGGACCTAATGTCCTCCCCCCTGAGCGGCGGGTGGGGGCCCTAAATTGGAATAGGGGAGGGACCTAATGTCCTCCCCCCTGGCCCCCACCCCTGAGTGGTGGGTGGGGGCCCTAAATTGGAATAAGGGAGGGAGCTAATGTCCTCCCTCCTGGCCCCCACCCATGAGCGGCAGGTGGGGGCCCTAAATACCAATAGGGGGGACGACCTATTGTCGTCCTCCCCCCTGGCCCCCACCCATGAGTGGTGGGTGGGGATCCTAAATACTAATAAGGGGGGGGACCTAATGTCCTCCCCCCACCCCTGAGTGGCGGGTGGGGGCCCTAAATTGGAATAAGGGAGGGAGCTAATGTCCTCCCTCCTGGCCCCCACCCCTGAGCGGTGGGTGGGGGCCCTAAATACTAATAAGGAGGAGGGGACCTAATGTCCTCCCCCCTGGCCCCCACCCCTAAGCAGTGGGTGGGGGCCCTAAATACTAATAAGGGGGGGGACCTAGTGACCTTCCCCCGGCCCCCACCCCTGAGCGGTGGGTGGGGGCCCTAAATACTAATAAGGGGGAGGGGACCTAATGTCCTCCCCCCTGGCCCCCACCCCTGAGCGGTGGGTGGGGGCCCTAAATACTAATAAGGGGGAGGGGACCTAATGTCCTCCCCCCTGGCCCCCACCCCTAAGCAGTGGGTGGGGACCCTAAATACTAATAAGGAGGGGGACCTAGTGTCCTTCCCCCGGCCCCCACCCCTGAGCGGCGGGTGGGGGCCCTAAATTGGAATAAGGGGGACCTAATGTCCTCCCCTCTGGCTCCCACCCCTGAGCGGCGGGTGGGGGCCCTAAATATATATATTTATATATACACATACATATACACACATATAATTATATATTTTTTTATTAACATTTATTTTTTATTTTACACTTGCAGGGATGCTGCCCGTCAGCATCCCTGTTGAGCGATCACATGGCCCCTGGGGTACTATAACCACTGCAGGTCTTAACAACACTATAGGGTCAGGAATATATGTTTGTGTTCCTGACCCTATAGTGTTCCTCTAATTGCAGTGTTGCACTTTAACCCTTTCCCACCGTTACGGCATTCTATGCAATCGCCATTTAAATGGCTTTTTTTTTTTAAATTATTATTCTTTATTTTTGAACTGCATGAATACATCCTGGATATTAATCACAAAAGTTATAATCAAGAAAGAAGTGGAAATCCATGAAGCAAAACTGCACTTTTTGTTTGATAGGATGAAGCAAGATTAGATCAATGCATAGAGGTCAGAGTCATAGTTAAAGAACATTGATGCATGTCATATGCATTGGGACAGCAAAGGTAGTTTAAACAAGTTAAACAAATGTAGTTTTTCCACTGGTGAAAGCCACTGGAGCCCTCCGTAGCAGGTGCCAAAACCAGTCGCCATGGGACTAATGCTAGGGGCATTTATACTTGTTAGCTGGTCTGAGTGACCCCTCAGCCCACTCCCCCTGCCCACCTGGCTGAGCATGATAGTGTGACATCCCAACATGATGGTAAGCCCAGCTTGTTCTGCACTGCCAGTCTCAGGTCACAGCGCAGCCCATTTCTTGCACCCACTGATCGAACGCTGTCAAGAGCCTGCATCAGAGTCCTTTCATAAATCAGACAGTAATGTGGGGTTTGTTCTCCTCGAGGCTCACTGCCCAGGTGAGTAGATGCTGGGGTGTCGGTGCTGGAATGTGGGTTGTAAGCCGCAGATAGTCCTTTTTCAGCTAGTGGACTGTCACAGTAGTGGTGGTAGGGAGCCCCTGAATGGGAGGGGAGATCCTTTCCCCCCAGGGTATCCGCATGCAGGCTGCTCAGCAAGGTCGGTCTCCTGGATGTATGGCTGGCGGCCATTTTAGCTTTACAGCACGGGATTCTGAGTATAGGGTGTGTTATAGCGTTTCTCTCCCCGCCGTTTTTGACTCTCCAGTGGGAACCGGGATAACCCCCCAGCCGGTCCAGGGGGGTGAAACGGGACCAGCAACCACATCAGAGACTGGTGTGTGAAAGACGGGGGAGAAAGTGGGGTGGCGGCTGTCCATCCTGTTCCTCTCTCGAGTAGGCCACAGACTCCAAAGTGCTTTATTGCCCTGCTGGCCTCTAAAAACTCCTGATCTCGGAGACTGCTGCAGCACCAGCAGTCATGTGTTCACTGTGTTGTTGTTCTGGGCTCAGATTCAGTGTAGGAGTCGCAAATATTAGCTTATTTGGCTGAGTCCTTCAGGAGCCTCTCCTGCATGTGACTGGTCAACATGGCGGCCTAGCCCCGCTTGCCCCCTTAAATGGCCTTTAAAGCAGTTGTGGCACCATTTCTTAATTTCTCACACTTTTTTTTTCATTTTCAGACCTAAAAAATTATGTGTCATATCTAAATATTTGAAATAAAAATCCTGTTTCTCCTGAACAAAATTATATAATAAATGTGGGTTCACTTAATATGAAAGAGGTGAATTATGAATTACCAGACATATAGTAAAATTGTAGGGTTTGTTTTGATTACATCAGAATGTGTATGTGACGGACCGCCTGGCACCTCGACCGGGTACCTCCATCAATCGCTGCTTCCTAGTACTTGCGAGCACCATAAGCACTGCACTGGAACACCATAACCACTGTAAACCCCACGAACCACCGCAGCTTGGTTGGGGTCTCGCTGTCCTCCATCCACCCTGGACCCAAGACCCAGATCTAGCTTCCAGTGGGTAGACCTCTCCTAGACCAGAGAGCGTTGCAGGTAGGGATGTACATGGGAAAAATATTTGGTTCGGTATTCCACACTTCAGAACTTCGGCCCTTTGGGCAAGTATAGGGTTAGGGTTACCCTACCCCTAATCCTACTCCAAGCACTAACCCTACCACAACCCCTAACCCAACCCTTTCCTGTTTTGCCACTTTTCAGAAATCCAAAGCACTTCAGCACTTCCGAAATTCAGCACTTCAGCAATTCGGTTCAGTATTCCGAAATTCGGCAATTTGGACATTCGTAAGCATCCGAATGTCCAAAATTCGTCAAAATTTGCATTCGGAACGAAACGGATTGCACATGTCTAGGAGAAGGAACAGCTCTTATAAGAGCTAGTGATTATACTCCTGGGGAGTATTGTGATATAGCAATCCCCAGAGTGAATGTAGTTCTCCAATCCCCCAAACATGAGCCAAGACTTCATGAAGGGGTAAACGAATGTCAATTTAATGGGAGCCACACTTGGCCTTTTATGACAATCCCCATGCAAGGAGTAAGCCCACCTAGACCTTGTTGGGGACTCCAACACAAAGACACAGACCAATAAGAACAGTGATTAAATGCCTGACACTCCCATAATAAACATACAATCCCTCCTCCCTGCTTGGGAGATAATTGGATAAGTAACTGTACTAATTCTAATCCTATTATCTCCTAGCACAGAAAAAAACATACTTTTTAAAACCACCCCAAAAGTACCCTAACAATACATAAAACCCTACATACCCTGATAGCCATGATCTGGGTGACCAACATATCCAAAAATCACCCAGATCAGTTCAGGGGTTCAGAAATTTCCTAGAAGTCATCTATTTGACCGACCGCAGGCATGGTCCCATAGCCGAAAATAGTTCCATAGAATCACGGCTAAGTGCCACGGAGGACCGGCCTGGGAACTGCAAAGTTTTCATGCCGAAAATAGTTCCAGGGCATTCGTCCCCTAAAGTCTATTTGCGGTTTTGGTCCATGTGAACAAGATGGCCGCCACCGCATGGTCGTCCATAGGAATTGTGGCCACCCAGGTGAACATTTAGACCAGAGGTGCAAATTGCAACAATGTATCAATTAAGAGCAAGAAATGGGTCGCAAGAGTATTCTGAGGACGGACAGCAGCTAAAATAGCCTGTCCTTCTGTGGGACCCGCTCAGAACTCAAGCTGGTTTAAGCTCAACTTGTGCCATTACAGAGAGAACATATCTGAAGCATATCAGACTGGTCCCACCCATACGGGCAGTCCAGATCCAAAATGCCAGCAAGTTCTCTCTGCACGAGAGATACAACAACCCCAGACGATCGTTTCAGCCTTATTAGGCATCGTCAGTGAGGCATAGCTGATATCTCTCTCGTGAGCAAGGGGTCCACGTCTGGATTACCCTTTAAACTAATGGAGAGCAAGAAATGGGTCACAAGAGTATTCTGAAGACAGACAGTAGCTAAAATAGCCTGCCCTTCAGTGGGTCCCCACTCAGAACTCAAGCTGGTTTAAGCTCAACTTGTGCCATTACAGAGAGAACATATCTGAAGCATATCAGACTGGTCCCACCCATACGGGCAGTCCAGATCCGAAATGCCAGCAAGTTCTCTCTGCACGAGAGATACAACAGCCCCAGACGATCATTTTTGACTCTCCACAAGTTCAAAGGGATAATCCAGACATGGACCCCTTGCTCACGGTGCCTAGGGAGATATCAGCT